GAAAAGATGACTTCACTTGGTGTACGTCCGAGAACTCGCTTGTCGAATGCCGTCTTGCGTTTGATGGCGTGTCAAACTGCGGTGTCATAGCCATCTAACTGTTGCTGTGCTACATATGCCATCTGCGTGCCAACGTCCGATATTCGTATTGCGGAGGTGCTGTTGCTAAGGTCTGTGCGTGGGGTGTTGATTACCTGTCCTATGAGTAACTCTTTTGGTGAGAACTTCAGCGCTGGTAGTATACAATGGTTGAGTGCCGTGATTGCGTCATCCAGATGATCTGGCCAGTTAAGTGGTATCTTGTCCCACGAGAGTGCTTCGTGGTCATCTTCTCCTATGTTCGGCGCACATAGTCTTTTCAGTACGTGCAACAGTATCTTGTTTGTGCCTTCGACTAAACCGTTAATCCATGGTGAGTATGCGGCTGATGACGTGAGTACTACAGTTCCACTTAGCGCAAAAGTTTTTGACGACTGAATTGTTGAAGTGCCTCCCTCCGTCCGACATGAAGGTTTCTGACGCTGTAAAATTCTTGAAGATTTTCGCTAAGCTATCAACCGTCGTCTTCGCTGTTCCTGCCGACTTATATTTGAATACCCACACATGTTGGGAAAACGTGTCTAGATATACTCCTAAGGTATTATACCCTCTTGCCTTCGGTAGTGTGAGGTAGTCCCCAACTAAGAGTTCAAAAGGGTGCCGGCGCGTTATCGGTTCTAATAATGAGTGGAGATGTGACGTACCAAAATTCTTGCAGTGGCTGCAATTGCTGATTGCTGTCATGATAGATGCGTCTAACTTTGGGCTGTAGATCTGGTCCATTAGTGCTATCTTAATCGCGTCTCGTCCCCAATGTCCGCCCTCGTTGTGTTGCTTCACTGCCCATGCTCGAGCTTCTTCTTTATTGACGCATTCCACTTTGCTGCGTGCTCTGACTGCCGTTCCACCATATAGCTTCCAGAGTTTCCCATCTTCGATCAAGTACTGGGATGCACGGTGTCTTGCACGTTTTCGGTCGCGGACATTGGTTCCTCTATCGATTTGTAGCATAGCTTCAACGACTTCATGAAAGACCGGTTCATCTGCAAATCGTTGCAGAAGCTGTGATGCTGTTGAATCTTCAATGTTAGTAGATACCTGGAGTAAGTCATTGATCAAACCCATGTTGGCTTCCCAGTCTTCGCTAACCTGTCCATTCACTTCCATCGAGTAGTTCTATGTCTCTCGGGTGTCCTTCCCACTGTCTGCTTAATCCATCTGCTATAACATTGAGTTTTCCCGGCACGTGTCTAACGTCCACGATGTTATGGGCCAAGATTCCATCTCTCCATTGTGCATGCGCTGCATTCAAGCGATTACTAATTAATATGTCCTTTAATGCTTGGCAATCCATTTCGACTTCGACTGGGAATCCCCAAATGATGTCCGAAAACTTGTCTAGTGCGAATTTCAAGGCTGCAAACTCGAGTAGGAATGGTTTGTAGTTTCGTTCTGCCTGTGATGTACATTTTGATGCGAATGCGATTGGGTGCAGGTGTTCTGTCCATTTCCCAGATGGGCTCTTCAGTGCGGTTCCAGTTGTGACAATACTGCTGCGAAGCCTTCTGCACATCCATCCAATGTTACGACGAAATTGGAGCTGTCGTATTTTGGGCCTTGCAGGATTGGTTTCGACACGAGTGCGGCTTTAAGGTCTAGAAAGGCTTTCATGTGTTCTTCTTTCCAGAGGTCTTGCAGTTTGAAACTTCGTAATGTTCGCCTATACGTGTTCTTTGTGTACGGTACTGTTAACGGTGCTCCTTTGATAAGGTTCCGTAGTGGCCCTTCCCGTTGTAGAAACAACAATACAACGAGGAACTAATGAGGCTCCTGACTGTATCTAAAAAATGTTGTAGGTCGTGCGTTGCCTAGTCTGCGTTACTTGAGGAGACAAGCGCGTTCGACCCTAAAGGGAAGCGAGTGCAGTGAAGATCTAGAGGTATGCGCTGAAGCGAGGCGCGAGAAAGCGCAGGTGCGCGCAAGGCACGAAGGCGCGGGAACGCGCGCGCATATTAGCGCAAAGTGCGGGAAAGTGCGCATGCGCGTGTGGAAATGATAGAGAGACTAAGCTTAAGTGATAATATAATACAAGATAAGTGAAGAGAGGTGCAAAGTGCAGACAAAATGGATTTCTACTATGTTCTTCTAGGTAGATAGTGGGTGGAAAGTAAAGTTAAAGAGAAAGTAAGTGAAAAGTAAGTGGAAAAACTCCCCCTCGTAGTATGTACTGCTGGCACTTATATAGCGCGCCTAAGCACGGTCATGCAGAGCCGAAGTGCTACCGAGTAGGTATGTAAAGATATATATAAGTAAGGGTCCATTATAAAAATAGAGGTGGAATGATATGCTAATAAAAGAAATGGAAATATACGCACTAGAGGGCTTGGTGGACAGTGGATGGATGCTTCTGGATGGCTGGCGCTATAGGGCGCTCAAGCGCAGGAAAGCTGCGCCTCATAGTGGAATATCTGTGGATAGCACACAGAGTGATGCTGCAAGTTTGTGCTATGTACTCCTAGTGTAACACGCCATATCACACCATGAGAGGCATGAGTCTCTACACCGTAACGAGTAGCTTTGAATTAAGTCTCTGAAATGACTAGTTAATCCTAAAAACGACTCAAGATTAAGCGCATCCGGTGGTTGTTCCCAATTGACTACTGCGGTTAACTTAGCTAGATCCGGTTGTACGCCTTCTGGGCCTACTGTAGCTCCTGCGAACATGGTTTCTGTCATAAACAAACGGCACTTTGTTGGAGAAAGTGAGATTTGACGTTCCTGACACCTCTGAAAAATTCATTTTAGTTTGTCCAACATTTCCTGAAATGTGTCTGCTGCGCATTCGCCGTCATCAACAAACAGTTCTATGGTGCTATCTGCTAACATATCATGCAAATTGTTAGCTGTCATCTCGGAGAAGGTTGAGGGTGCGCCTGTCAGTCCCATAGGCATTCTTTTGTACCAAAAATAACCTCTCCCTTCAATGTAGAACGCTGTGTACAGCCATGACTCTTCTGGGATTTCAACCGCATAGAATCCCGATGCGAAGTCAAAAACCGATACATACTTGTGTCCACTTAACCTTAGCTGTTTGGCTCTGATATCACCTTGAGGCATCGGTGCAATCGTCGTAACTTTGTTGACTTCATTGAAATTTTGGCAGATTCTCCATTTTTGCAGTTTTGGGGCATTTTCTGTCCTTCTGGGTTCTTCTGGGACCTCGCATTCTGGTAGAGTGAATGCTGGTGGTTGACCGCTTCGTAGACACTGTTTGTTGACAGCTTGTTGCAGCTCTTCTAACGTCATGCCTTCCTGCTCATGCGCTTTTTTCGCCAGAACTGTGTTTGCGCAACACTTGACAGCTTCCGGTGGCGCATGCTCGATAATTCCGGCTTTGATCATTTTGTCGATTTTCCCGTGTAAGAACTGTATTTGCGGGGGAGTGAGCGGTCATTGATGGACCTTTAGATTGAAGGTTGTTCCCTCCGGTATGTTCAGCCGATGGATTGCTCCCGGAACTGGCAGTACTTCTCCTAGAGAACATGCGAAGATATCAGCATAATCGGCAACAAGTGTTTTTACCTGTTCGAGCTCTTCTGGTGTGAGGTCCTTCCCGTACTGAACATGTTTCACTATCCAGGCTGTTCGTCGCGGGTTGTGGGGTTCCGTTAGTCGAGTGAATGTTGCCTCGTCATTTGCTAGGAATTTGGTGGGTATTTCCTTTAGGGAGTTGTCACGCTCATTTGCTGGTATGGATTCTTCAGCAGCTTCGTCCTTTGTTTCCTCCATTGGTGTTTCTTGCGCTATTATGTGAGCTGGAGTTGTATCTTGGTCCTTAATACTTGCTCTTGCCGCTTGGGATTGATTTCGTAGCGTCGTTGTGCCTCCGATTCCTGTGACTTGGACTTCATCAACCTCGTAATTGTGGATTTCTTTGAAGGTTTGCAGCAGCGGCTTCCCGAATAAAAACTTCCAACCTCCCCCACTCTGTAGCACTTCGAATTCTCCTCGTGCTCGTATCCCTCCTATTACTACTTCTCCTTTCCAGACTGCCTCTGATTGCACTATTGCTCCGTTTGCCATACTGAGACGTTTGGTTGACGGGCTCCAATTGCCTAGCCTATGTTTGATGTTCTTGAAGATGGACGCGCACATGATGCTCGTCATCGCCCCTTCATTGAATAATGCTTTGACTCTGATCACCTCACCTTGTGGGCCTAGGAACGAGGTGTATTGTAGAAATGGTAGGCAGTGTTGGCTTCTATTTTCGTTTTCTGCCGCCGAATACAGATCACTGACATCACATTGATTATCTGCTGTTGATACATTGTATGGTTCTGTGTCTATGATTGTTCCGACGGGGCTTTGGACATTGTCCTCGCGCGTTGCCTCTCCACGTACGAGGACTGGTTGTTCAGCTTGTTGAAGTTTGATTTCTGTTTGGGTTGTCTGGTGTCCTTCTACACTGACAACCCTGGTCCTTTTCCCTGGTCCCACTGTGCGTACTCTTCTTCAAATGCTACGTCGATTTGTACCGCGTTCACACGATTAAAGTTGCCTAATGCTCTCACTGCTAAACTTCTCCAAATTCTCTCCTGGATTGGCAGTTGCGACGCCTCTGGCACTGGGCACTCTGCTGATCTATGTCCATGCGCTCCGCATTTGAAGCATTCCCCCGAGCATATCATGGCACTGCCAGGGCGAAGTGGGAACTGGGTGGTTTCTGTGACTCGTCCAGTTTGTCCATACTTGGCAAACCATTGCTTGAGCTGGTCGTCATACGCTGTTCGACCTGGTGTGGTGTCCGGATGGTGCGCTATGTCATTGATGTGGCTTCGCATGATGTCTCGTTCTTCCTGTGTGAGAGGTTGACATTGGTGAATCGTTTGTTGGGAATTTGTCAGTAGCTCTCTGTTGACGTAGTGTATGCATGGTGTTAGATTGGATGAAGGTGTGGTGCTTCATTCGATTGGGTTAGGCCATAAATTGGTGTGCTGTAGCTGTAGACGCATAACCTCTATTGCATCTGTTTGCATGGTCTCGAGCCTTGCAAGGCGAGCGCTCTGCATCTTCTCTTCCTCTTTCTTCTTCCGTGCTGTCTCTGCTTTCTCTCTCAGCTTGTTCGTATCAAGCACTTTAAGCTCATCTAGGAACTTGCTCCATTCCGCTAACCCCGGTGTTGTGAGCTCCTTGATTACCATTGGTAAGTTTTCCTGGACTTGGTACACGAGCCCTGCCGTTGTGTTGACTCCGGCTTCATTGACGAGCTGCTGTAAGTTCACGTGGAATTGGAGATGTGCCCATGTAGGGACGCCTGCGACTGTGATCTGTTTGCCTACTTCTTCCTCTTTCAGTCGTAAGGCCAATATTTCTCATTGGTAGTCGAGCCCTGTTTTTTCAGCTACTGTAATTGCTGGTCAACGGTTAGAAAATGCTGTTTTGACGTCCGCCCATGTGTTCTTGTGTGTGCTGTCCAGCTTGTTCCACCACGTGTCTGCAATTGAACCTGCCGACAGTAGGGTACTGAATACTGTGATCTTCCCTTGTTCAGTCTTCAGTTCATTGAGCACGACGTAGCACTCGACTTCGCGCAAGAAGTTCTGTGCGTTCTCATTGGCTTTGCCGTGGAACCACCCTGGCGTGTTGCTATTTCCTGACATCTTTTTTGGCTTTGGTGGTTGCGAAGTGGCTTTAGCAGTGATAGGTTTTAAGAAGGTCTTGATTGGTGTCGTAGGTGGGAACGGCCACGGAGTGATTATCTTCTGTGACTGTACGACGGTGCTTAAGATCTTTGGTGGTTGGTCGTCAAAGGTAGGAAGTGTATTAGCCTCTGGATCTGGTGCTCCCACTAATGACTCTTTATCTTCTTCGTCGGTCTGTTCTAATTGCTGGCAGACTTCGTGGGACTCGTACTCCGAGTTCTCCTGGTCTGTAGGTTGGTCTTCTATCTCGTTGGATGTAAATTCTGGTGTATCTAGTGGGGATGATTCAGTTGCAAGAAGGAGGCGTCAGAGAGGCTAGTTAGGCTTTTTTTCGAGATGAATTGTCCTTTCGGACCTCTTGGTTGCTTTTTTGGGGGCATTTTGGCGTTGTTTCTTATCGTCTTTTCTAAGACAATAATAACGGAATGTGTTCTGCACGTGTGCGTTGACGTTCTGAGCCTTGCTTTTTGTTGACGTTTCCAATGCTGTAACGTTGTATCAACCAATCGTTGTTTCTGAACCAATCTAATAGAATCTGAGAATTCTGATGTGGAAAGCAGATATACGCTGATGCGAAGATCGAATCCCACTCTCTCACCACAATGGGGCAGTGGCTCCAGCCTTGGTGAATGTGCGTCGCACTTGAATGAGATAGAGTCTCTGTCTACTGCCACGCCCTGAAATGGCACACTGGGCTGACTAAGCTACTCGAACCTCCGATTCTGCCCCTGTTCCTGCACCCCCTGGCTAGGGGTGCCTCACTCCACTGGGATAGTGTGTCAACTCTCCATGCCATATGCACATCAACAAAATGGAAAGGCTGAGCATGCGATTCGGACTATAGGAGGGCGTCTTCTGTTCCATCGAACGAGGGGGTGGTTGCTGAAGGAGAAGAAGTACATGAGAAGGTGAACTTGAAGGAAATTGAGCCGAACATAGACATCCCCGAGGCATTTGCTAACGTGATGATCGAGGAGCACGCACACATTTCCATCCGAAGTGACCGAAGAAGAAATCCCAACGACTCTAACTACGATATGTCAATCCCTCCCACAACGTACGAAGAAGCCATGCTGCGCCCTGACCGTAATGAATGGCTTACTGCCATGAAAAAGGAGCTGCAAATTATGGAGATGCACGTTTACAAGATCGCGACCATCCCAGAAGGTCGCAAGGCAATCGGCAATTGTTGGGTCTTAGAGTTTAAAGAGGACAATAAGGGCGGGTCAATTTACAAGGTGCGTCTTGTCGCCCAAGGATTCTCTCAAATTCCAGGCATAGACTACGGCGCAACCTTTGCACCAGTACTAAAGACAGCATCCCTACGACTCATTGCAGCTCTGGCATGCAAGCATGACTGGGAACTTCACTCCTTCGATGCCACGCGCACTTTCCTCTGGGGAGTACTTAAAGAGGAGATATACATGCGTCAACCCAAGGGGTTTGAACATGGAGACTGGAGGGTACAGGTCTGGCGGATGCTTCGCACAATCTACGGATTGAAGCAGTCCGCTGTAGAGACTCATGCCTCTCATGGCGTGACATGGCAGTTTCCACCAAGGAGTGCATAGCACGAACTTGTAGCATCACTCTGTGCGCTACCCACAGCTATCCCTATACAAGGCGCAGCTTTCCCGCGCAATGCGCGCACCATTCCCACGCTTCACGATGTATATGCGCGTGCGCGTTCCCGCGCTTGAGCACCCTATAGCGCCAGCCATCCAGAAGCATCCATCCACTGTCCACCAAGCCCTCTAGTGCGTATATTTCTATTTCTCTCATTGCATATTGTTCCACCTTTATTTTTATCATGAATTCTCACTCATATATATCTTTACATACCTACTCAGTAGCGCTTCGGCTCCGCATTACAGAGCTTAGGCGCGCTATATAAGCGCCAGCAGTACATACTATTACTTACTTTTCAACTAACTTTACATTTTTTACCACTTACTTTTCCTTCAACTGACTACTCACTACTCACTTACTACTTAGCAGAATATAGTAGAAATCTATTTGTTTACACTTCGCAGTCTCTTCTCTTACCTTGTATCATATCATCACTTAAGTTTAATCTCTCTTATTTCCGCATACGTGCGCACGCTTTCCCGCACACCGCACAATACGCGCGCATGTTCCCACGCCTTGCGCGTACCTGCGCTTTCTTGCACTTCGCTTTGGCACACACCTCGAGATCCTTGCTGCACTCACTTCCCCTTTAGGGTCGAATGCACTTGTCTTGTCAAGTAACACAGACTAGGCAAAGTGCAACCTTACAAACATTTATAGATACAGTCTGGAGCCTCATTTGCTCCTCACAGTAATGTTGTTTCTACACCGCCATGGAATGGTACGAGCAGGTGAGGGAGGTGATGGATGAGTTGGGTTTCACTCGGTGTCCCGTCGACTATGCAGTGTTTCTTTTTGACAGCAGCACCTCCAGCACTCGTATAGTCTGCATTATTGGGTTCCACGTCGACAATGGGATGGGAATGTCTAATTCGCCGGCTTTCTCAACCTGGGTCAAACAGAAGATCCATCAGTGTTTCGGCATCAAAGACATGGGACCAGTCACCAAGTTCATTGGAATCCAATTCAAACGAAACCGTAACACACGCCAGCTATGGATGCATCAAAGCGAGTACATCACCTACCTACTGGAAGAATATGACCTCCTTGACTGTAACCCAGTCTGTCTTCCTCTTGACCCGCATCACCTGTTTGGCAGACCAGACACCATCCATGACACAATCCCCAATCTCCCCACTCTCTTTCGCAAGCTCATCGGTGAACTATTGTACCTCGCCATTTGTACCCATCCAGACATCTCATATGCCGTCAACTCCCTCGCACAGCACAACTCAGGCCCTCTCCCAGCACATTATGCAGCTGTGAAATGACTACTTTGCTATCTCTCTGGTACTATCAACCTTCGCCTACAGTACGGGGGTGCCAGCGCAAACGACAAACTGCATGCATACTGTGACACCGATTGGGCCAGCTCACCCTCTGACCAGTTGTCAATCTCAGGCTATGTATGGTACTATGCCGGGGGCATCATAGCTCACGTCTCAAAGAAACAGATGACCCATGCTCTCTCATCCACAGAGGCCGAATATATGGCGGTCACGCACATCATACAAGAAGGCCTCTGGATCAAGTCGCTCATCATCTCGCTTCATGTACATCTTCCTTTCCCCATCGTCATCTACATGGACAATACTGGCGCCATCTCATTATCAACTGAAGCACGCAATCACATCCGCTCCAAGCACATTGATGTGCGATACCATTTCATCCGGGAACATATTGAGAAAGGAACATTCTTACTCAAATGGGTTGCCTCCCACAGGAACACTGCAGACATCTTCACAAAAGCTCCCTCGACCTCTCTTCATAAAGCATCTGCCCGGCCTTCATCTGGTGTCTCGCTGAGGGGGTGTGTTGGACGATACAAGTCGGACGAATTGAGTATTGGATGGTACGAGTTGGGGGTTGGACGATATGAGTTGGACACACACGCATGGTACCAGTCCCAGAGGATTAGCCTCCAGGACCATTTTTGTCTTCTTCTCCTTTTCCGATCCTTATCGTATCTTGTCAGCTTCAGCACCATATGTTTCTCAGCAGCTTCTCTCCATCTTGAACCTTCTATTGCTTACCTTTAAATATCTTGCTCATATGCAGTGATACCTCAGCGTTGTCTTACACGTCCGCTGAGGTACGTATACCACTACCCTTTTGTATCTAGCTTTGCTAACGTACGACCTAGACTTTGGTCTAGGTAAATTCAATTCAGTGTTGTCTTACACGTCCACTGAGACTTTGGTCTAGTTCCTACACATACTTGTTTCACAACATTGATGTAAAGTTGTCCGTGTGCAAACGAATCTGTACGTAGTAGGTCAGTCAATCCTTAGGCCTTGAGATCCATCGCACAATCGATTTTGAATTGGCTGACTCTCACGATAAACGAGCCAAACATTACATAAGCAAAACTTTGCCAAATCATTACCGTACTACTGTGCTACATGGGCCGCTAGATCATCATCTATCAATATGGACGGGGTGAAAGCTGCTAAGTACGTTGAAGTTCGTGAATCCTTACGCTCAACATACTGACAAATCCCCAGGAGACGCAAAATCACAGATAAATCCGTCCCAAATGCTCTTGCGCAGCTTCCAGAGTTCGCTGAGGACTCACACATGTACCAAAGCTTGCTAGAGATGGAAAAGAGGCTCGACTGGACAATGAACCGGAAAAAAGTGGAAGTGCAAGATGCATTGGCGCGCAATCCGACTGTAGTTTCACATGCCTGCAATATACGATTGGTACTAACAGATTATCAGACTGCACGTACACTGCGGCTATTCTTGAGCCATACGGTCTCTGGGCAGCTGTGGCAAACTGGCGAAGCTGGTGCCGAGGGCGTAAACTTTGAGACGGGGCAGGGAATTCCAGCCTGGTCTCTGAAGGTTGAAGGGCGACTATTAGAGGTACGTTTATTTCAGCGGATGAACGCATTGCTTTAACGCCCATATAGCTTCCCAATCAACGTGCGCGGGACAGGGTTTCTCCTCGAAAATTCTCCACTCTCATCAAACGAATGATCGTTGAGCTTGACCGTGACCCAACTTTGTATCCAGATGGGAATGTCATCGAGGTAAGCGAGCTCAGTTGAGATGAGGTGGTCATCTTATTTTAATTCGTTGTTTCAGTGGCCTCGGGGTCCGACTATTCAGCAGCCTCTCGATGGGTTTACCGTAAGGCGAACTGGGGACCAGCCGACGAAAGTGCGCCTCATAGTATATCTCGAGCAGACACCAGAGCAGTACAAAGTGGCATCAGACCTGGGTACGTCTCGTGCATCTCGACTTGAATTCATCGACCTGATGATAGTCCCTAGGCAACGTCTTGGGAATCAAAGAGGAGAGTCGCATTGGCATAATTCAGGCCATGTGGAACTATATCAAAATACATGGCCTGCAAGACAAAACAGATCGCCGAAGAATACGCGCTGACGATTATCTGAGACCGGTGCGCTGATTATATTGACTCTTTACTATCATATGAAGTTCATCATTGCAGATCTTTGGCGGAGAAGGCATTATGTTCCACCAGCTGCCAGAGCTAGTCAATCGATATTTGATGCCTCCAGACCCTGTAGTTATCTATTACACCATTAACCCAGCACAGATACCCCCAGAGCGCCCTTCTGCATGGGATATCGAAGTCAAGATGGAGGACACGAGTTTGAAGAACCGCATTATGGTGACAGTACAATCAAGTAAAGACAGCACGTCCGACCTCACCAAGTTGGATGATGAAGTAATATGTCCATTCCCTCTGATCCGACCCCTTCTCTAACACTCAAAAATGTAGATTGCGCTGCTATCACAATCACTACATAACTCGCACACGAAGCGGCAATTCCTTCAAAGTTTCGCCAGAGACCCAGCTAATTTCATACAAACGTGGTTGGCATCGCAGTCTCGCGACTTGGAAAGTGTGCTCGGGAGTGGACCGAGTGAAGGTGCCACTATTCGCGCGGAGGAGTTGCGTAGGAGTGATTTCTTCAGGCTACCTTGGGTTGAGGAAGCTGTTGCTGTTCATGAAGGGTTGCGTCTGGCATCTCGAGGTATGCAATGAAAGTTGTAGAACTACGGTCCCTTGCTATGTCGGCCTTGCTTTTGCAGTCTTATCTTATTCTAATCGTTGCATTGTTGTACTTTCGTGTGTATTTCGCCAAGAGATGATCATTTCCCATTTTATGCTAGTACGCGACCTTAATTTTTTGACTCCGAAGTCAAACCACCCGAAATGAAACATGCGATAAAGACTACAATAGCTCTAAGCGCCCACGTTGGGCATTACGACGGCACACCTTTCTCATTCTCACTGTCATGGCCAGTAAACAGGCAAGTCTTTTATTAATTGCTTTTGAGCTAGTCATGAAGGTAGTTCGTGTCACAGCTCGGGAAGTTGAGGCAGGTTAGTCGTCGATTTATGCTAATACGTGGCTTCTCTACTCAAGTGCTGTTGGAATGAAATAGTGGGCTGGTGAGAAAATATCCTCGCGAGATAAGACTATCGTCGCGGAAGAGTTCAAGGACATTGAGCAGGACATCGAGCTCCGAAAAGAAGGGATTCAGAAGTGCGTTCGTCTTTCACAGAACTGCATAGAACCAATTGACATTCTACGTGACAAGGCTGCAGGCAGCTGCGGAAGATTACCAGCATGTACTTTCCAAAAAGAAGGAATCAACCGTTATACAAGAGGCAGAGAAACTCATGCCGCTTGATGCACTGGGAATCGTAATGATATCACATGGTGAAGAATTTGGAGACGAATCTGCTTTCGGTACGCCACCACTCCTTTGTCGATTTGCTTTCCTTTAGTTGATATATTCAGGGACATCACTGGTGAAGTTGGGTAGAGCTCATTGCAAGGTTGCCACTCTGCAGGAGGCGTTCGCCCTTACTTTTCAGGACACCTTCATCACTTCCTGCCAGAACTTCGTTCAAGACATAAAGGACTACGAACACCAGCGGAAGAAGTTGGAGAGTAGGAGGTAAGATAAGCTAGTCCTCTCGCTGTCTTGAAGGTGCTCACTCTGGGTTCAACAGGCTGAGCTATGACGCCGCTATCACTAAATTTGATAAGATCAAAGGCAGCAAAAAGGAAAAAGAAAAGGAAAGGCGAGAAGCTGAGGATGAGCTACAACGTAGCCGTCTGCGCTAGTGAGTGACACGCCAGAGTTAGTCATCTAATTCACTGACAAGGGCATAGCGAAGAAACTGCTGAAGATGTGCGCTCCCGAATGCAGGCTATTCAGGAAAACGAGATACAACAACTTCGAGAATTAACTTCGTTTCTGGATCTCAAGCTCAATTTCGCCAAGCAGTACTATGAAGTGTTGCAGGATGTGAAAGCAAACTGGTGTGACGAGTATGTTCATCCCAGCTAGCCTGGATCTAGCTTCTGATTTCCAATATGTTTAGGTCTACTCTGGCAAAGTTTGAGACTCAACGAAAGAGCTTTCACCCTCCTGTCTTCTCACGCGCCACAGATGATGGCAGATTTCAGTCTGTATCCAAGGGGTCCATGATTTCCCATGCGTCTGGTGCAGTAGCTTCCTCCAACGGTTCCGACGAGCATACTTCGTCCCCTATTTCTACCCGCCGGAAGTCAGACGCAGGGAACAAGACCATCTCACGACCGTCGTCGCGGGCATCTCGTAAACGCTCCGATAGCAGTGTTACACGGAAACGTTCTGACAGTGAGGCTACATCTGGTGCCCCCGAGACTCCGAAGGCAGACATCTCGGGTAAGAAGATGAACATTACTGGTTGGGCATCGAGCGCCATGAGCTCGATGACGGGAAGAGGGAAAAAAGACAGAGATAACTTTGCAGCCCTCACAAACGGGGACGACCCTGAGACAGATATCACCGACTTTTCCCGTCCTCCAAGCTCTCGGTCCTTTTCTCGGAAATCACCCAGTTCCAAGGCGAAAGAACTACTTAATGGGTCCCCCAAAACGGCGACCCAAATCATGAAGCCGCCTTCCCAATATGCACAAAAGCTTGTTCGGGCGTTACACGACTTTACAGGTTCTTCCGATGAGCTCACCTTCAAAGCCGGCGACGAAATTATCGTTATCCAAGAAGTCCTGGATGAGTGGTGGCTTGGCGTTTTGTCAAACGGTCGGAAGGGGCTGTTCCCCTCTACATATACGGAAACCATTTCATTGTCACCATCATCTTATCGAGTCTCGGCGCAGTCATCTGAAGACGACTTGCACTATACTGCTGCGAGCGAGGATAGCGAAGACGATGTCAGTTACCTTCTTGGAAGTCGTGTTATGGACACGAGTCATATATCTGCGAGGTTTGGACATGGTTTCGATACAGAGAGTGTCACTAGTACCGTTCCTGAGGATGAGGAAGAGTCAAGGTTGGTGACGGCAAAAATTGATGAAGAAGATGTGTACTATAACCCGCGTCACGCATCTCCACAACTGCTTCCACCTTCCATCTCAAGCAGCCGACCTACCTCTGAGTCTAGCTTTGCAATCAAGCGCGCTCCCCCACCTCTTCCGTCACGTCGACTGACTAACACAGCTGCTCCCCCGCTACCTAGCCGCACCTCTATCAAGCCCCAGTCACAATTTAATAGTCCCCGTCCTCTGACATCGGCATATCTGACACCATCGCCTTCTGCGAGCAGTGTGCAAGGACCAAACGTGTCACCTTTTGATAGCCTCTTGGACGTGTCTTCCACTTGAAGCTTGCGAAGCAGTTGCTCCGATTCTGCGCTGGTCTTGGATTATCTGTATTCGGTGGATCGACAAGTAATTTAGCTGTCGTTTTGCTAAATCATTGATTGTTAATGTGACTACTGACACTACGTCTACCGTGTCGAGGGGGATTCGTCGGATAGGCGAGCTCGGGGCCCTCTAGGTCAAGTTCGACTTTTATTTGTTTGTTGTATGCATTCTTCGACACGAGCTCTCGGACAGACATCTCCGTCAGTATTAACTAAAACTACTATAATCGTTTGGTACGAACAATTCATGTTCATCAGGATGCTCGACTACTGAATCTGTCGATTACTTATAATTAGACATGTATGTGACTTGTGACAATATTAATCGCAGCATCTCTCCTCTGAGACTCCATTCCAACGACCATGTCTTTTAGAAAGATCGACATCGACGCTTATGACGAGGATGTCCTACTGGAGGGCGAGCTTTGCGAGCCAGATCCACGCGATCCCGCTCAAGTCTTGAGTGATGCGAAGCAGAAACAGGCAGCAGTCCGGAGCACGTTAGCCAGGTATACTCCCTTCTCGCTACTTTACAACATGATCTAACCTAAGTACTACTTATTCGCGCAGGGGGGACATACCAGGGGCGCTGGGAATCGCGCTGGACAGTATACCTTATGGGCCAAATGTCGAGGAAGCTAAGGTGACTCTGTTGCCCGCATCTCACCAATACGCTGACATTTGCGTAAGAACCTGACGTTGCAGACCGTTGTCTCGATACTGAATAGCACGAAATCATCGGATATAATCAGCGTCGTGAAAGCGCTCTCCCAGGATGCTCAGGACACATTGATGAAGTACCTTTACAAGGGTATGGGGATGCCAGGCTGGGGTGATGTGAGCGGCAGCGTGCTCTTGGGGTGGCATGAGAAGGTGTGTCTGAAGTTCTTCTCCCATATAAATTTTCTGACCATAAATTTGCAGTTGACAGAAGTTGCCGGCACAGGCTGTATTGTACGAGTAATGACTGATCGAAGAATTGTATAAATGAGCATGCCCCCGCAGTTACTAATGGATCATGCACATCTCCAGTACACAGCAGGATAAACACAAATACTTCAGCATTCTGATTGATATGGAGGTACATGACACTGCAGCAAGACGTATAACGTTTCAGATCCACTACGAATTCAACTACAAATAGATTCACAAAACATCATGATGAAGACCAGTGTTGACACAATCGCTGTTGACTGGAACTGCAGTCAGTAAGATCCTTGGTAGAAAGGTAAAAACTTACACTATACAGACCTGAAGCTCATTCCAGAAAATCCCCCTCGGTCAGAATGCGCCCATTGAACATCTTTCCGAGGTGAGTTGGTAGATACCCCATGCCTTTCCTTCTCATTCCGAACAACCTCTTCAGCGGAGGAAGCTGGGATTGCTTGAACAAACACGATGCTCTCGCAGAAGAGCGGTTCTCCTCCCTGATGAATCCATCACTATCGGCTATCAAGTCTTCGTCCCCCAAATCCGGCGCGTTGAGCCCTAAGAAATTGCAAGTGCAGAGGTACATCTCGTAACTGGAGAAATACAGTTGACCCGCAAAAAGGTTGAGCTGGAAAATCAGCGGTTCCAATGGCGTCAGATGTGGGGTCGAAGGAACACGGTACAGTTGAAGATCATCGCATGCCTTCATCGTGTTTGTAGTCCGAGGAGTATATACGCACAACTGAACTGCGTTACTGTTGCGGATATCAGGCAGCAGTGCGTCCACTTCGTTTGGGCTCATCACTACCAGCACTCCAACGTCACTGAGCACGATCCAATTGACGGGCCGCAGGTATTCATCCGCTTTCTGTGTGGTAAGGATAGTCCCCACCGTACGAGCGAAGTCACGGGTTACTAAAACCTTGCGCGCCCAGTGATGATCTTCATGAAATTTGGTAGTGGTGTTGACGAGGCTGGATAGGGCTGGAATGAAAACGGGAGACCCTTTGGGAATTCGGCCGGTCTTGACAAATTGACGGACGTGCGCATGCAAGTCCTGAGCTGCGGGTTGCACTTTGGGCGGTCTTTGAACTTGACGTTCTCTCTCTACCTCGTGAATCACCTCCCTTTCTTGTTCCTCATCCATGCTCCTTTCGGGCCCCGTTAAAACTCCGAGCTCCTCACACTTGCTTCGAATGTCTGCATCGCAGACATGGGATACTTGAGAAGGACTGCGTGGTGCGTACATATCCTCTAATGAACGCTCCTCTGGCTGCAACCAGGCTGTTTTCAGGGTGGAACTCGAAGTGGTAGGTGCATGCGAGAATTGAGTCCATGCGGAATGCCGGGCGTTGAAATCCGATCCCTGTTGAACCCAGTGGAATGCACGCATCTGAATATCAAGACAGGTTTCGAGCATCGACCAGTGCAAAATATCCGTAACGTCAACACGGTCTGTATCAGCTTTCTGAGTCGCTGAACGAATGCTTCGGTCAACTTCCGTTGGAGCGAAGAACATCACCGAGTGGCCATTGCCCAACTTCCGCATTCGCATGCATCCTGTGTCGTTGGCTATTATCAAAATTGATACGCATGAACTCTGGAATCACGGACCTTGTGTCAGGCGGTCTTTCGTGACTTTCGGACCAAGCGTGACTGCAGCTCGGAAGCCAGAAGGCAACTTGACATCTGTTCCTCTGGTGTGCGCGTCATCGAGATATATCACACACTGGTCGAGCTGTTGGGCGAAGGGAGACGACACAAGAGGCTCTATTGTCCCATCCTGACTGATAACCACGATTTCGTCGTCGTCATTCACAAATACTGCGGCTTGGGCGTCGCGTTTGGCTCGAAGCCATGCCTCGGCCAATTCCTGATTCTTCAATTCCAGCATCTGTGCACCAACATCCAGGAGCACGCGGACCTCGGGGGTTTGTGCTATCAAGGCCTCGATGAAATGCTGTACCTTCTGGCCAGGTGGTATGGGTCTATAGCAGTTGTTTTCTGGGCGCAAAAGGAACGCCAGGACTCGGGCATTCGTGCTGCGTTGGTAATCGAGGTCATGCTGCACTATTGAGCTTGGCAAAAGATAACGGTTGTCGTTGGTACCAGAAAAGCCGGTGGTGAGATGTCTCTTCTCTTGAGCGAGATCCCACCCGGAGCAGGTGAGCTTGCTGGGGAATGCCTTTGCTTCCTTGGGAAAAACTACTCGGGACAGGTAAAAATCTATGACCGCCTTGTGGAATTCGAACAGTCGTTGAAGTTCAGGGAGCTGCTCTGCAGATTCCGTGTTGATTCCGCTAAGCTGACGCAGACCGTCTGGGACGGACTGAAGTCCAAGTACCCAGGATTCATACTCGAGGGTAGGATTATCCTGCTTGAGCAGGAGCTCGAAGCACAATATCAGCTGCTGGAGCGTGAGACCCCCATAATAGTATGACAGGCATGTGAGGGTGACAGCAACGTCCGGGTGACCAAACTCTGCCCGCAGCGAGGGCATATCTTTTGCGCGAAATGGAACAGCTAGCATAGTTCGTTTTTGGGCAAGGCCATAGTCCACGCGCCAGCGACGTTCTTTGAGGGCGTACACCAAGATCCCACATGCTAGCAATCCACGCAGGACTAGGAGGCCTGGCCAGATCGTAGTGTCTTTATAGCGATCCTCCACCACGCTGACATAAGTACTGGATATATTCTCAGTTGCGATAAAGCGGCAAACAGCTTCTTTCACGTGGGGAGGTGCTTGATCGAAGTTGATGTTTTCAAGCGCGCCATTGACAACATCCTCTGCGATCCATTGGACTAATGTGTTACCTGATGTCGGGTGCAGAATGCGAATGAAGGGGAATCCCCCGTGCTCACGAATCGATACTTCTGAACGAGAGGGAAGCTCGCTCATGAGCCGAGCGGCGTGCTTCGCAACAAGACTCAACACTTGTTGTGTTGTCGTCCACCTTTCCGGATGGCCTTGAAGCGACGTTTGGAGACCCACAGTGTATACCAGCTGGTAGCGGACGTGCAGAATTTCATCGCTTTCATCCAGGATGTCGCGTGTGTGATTATCTAGCCATAGCTGAGTCCGCAGTATTTGAGTCCGTAGCATATCATCAGCAGGTTTAGTCTGATCGGACAGCTGACGGTCGACAGCCATCAGCTGGAATGACAGAATATGGTCCTGTTGCACGACCAAGATTCCCTTGGTATCCATGCACTCTTGCATCAGGTCACGATACATTTGCACCTTCGATGGGTTGATAGAGAGCGCGCGGGAGAATGGGATATAGAAAATGCGCCTTTGCGCGAGGCCGCTTAGTCGTTCAACCAGAAGTTGGAACATCTGAGCCGACAACGACTTCAGCACGATTACTCGGATCAGTTTGTGGCCATCAGAAAGTGCGGCTGCTGCGAGGGGAACGATAACATAGGATTTGCCTTCACCCATGTTCAGTTGGAGAGAAGTATTTCTTCCTGTGGATGGTGACATCATCTCCAGCGCAACCTTGACCTGGACTGGCCGTGCCAAGAACTGACTTTCGATCTAAAATGTCGACAATCAATAACTATCAACGATTGATTTCTTTATAGCGTACCTGTATTAAAAGCCAGTCAGAGTATAGCTCCGGATCAAATCCTTCACATCTTTCGCTCTCCAACTCTTTGAAGAACTCGACCCAGTTTTTCTTCGCAGCAAAGACCAACAGCCTTCGCGAGTGTTGCAGCTGCAAAAGTATCTGCGACAGCTGAACAAGAGTAGCACGCCAAGCCTTCCCCAAAGAATTTCCTGCTGCAGAAGCCATGCGTGTGAAAAGGAAATTTGGTGTAACTCGAGGCCATAATCCAGCATTATACAACGTGTCCTCAGCCGCAGAGGAGGGGGAGAGGGCGTGTGAAATTGATGCGAGTGAATCTTGGAATTGCAGGCTATGGAGAGAATGGTACTCAAGCAGTAGTTCCATCGTGTAAGGCGTAGAATCTGGTGGGGCAACGATCTTTTCGTCACAGTAAATTGACATGCTCTGGTCCAGATCATCGGCGTATTTGCGGCGAAACTTGTCACTTCCTTGTGCGCGAAAGTCGTTAATCAACCGTTGCAGCCTCGCTGTAACTCGGGAGTCTGGAAATACCAAATCTTTCCGAATGGCATTAGGCAGAACTTGGGAAGACCCGTACATGCCTGTCACAGGCGGATCTCTATTGAAAAGGTACTGGGCATCAACGGATGAGGCCGGTGATGCAACATCTGAGCTCTCAAGGTGAGAATCAAGACGATACTGAGAGGGTAGTTTTGAAGGGGGTTTGGGCGTGTAGAGCCGTTTGAGCATTCCCTGCAGGCCATCCAGGTGTAGCTTCAGATGATGGTTTTGCCAACAGCTGCGAAATACTGGGGAAAGTTTCCCTGCTAGCTCATTGAGATTGTAGCACTTCACTTTCAACGTACTAAGTGCCGGAGGATTTTCGCATGGCCAGGCACCCCGAACTTTGCTGAGAATGACTTGCTTTTCAGAGCGACACTTGTCTTCGAAAGCTGAATAACGACGCTGCCCCAGAGTCTTTTCATCATCGCCAGGCATTGCAGGTAGGTGTCTCTCCTGGCTGTTTTCGTAATCTATGGAGCACGAACTGATGATTTTGTCCAATCTCGTATCGGACAGCATGAAACCATCCGAGAGATCGTAAGAGGTGAACTTCGGAGGGCCTCCCAGGCTGCGAATTTCGGGAACCGTAGCGAAAGCTAGGAGTGTTGGCACGAGCGCATCATCATCCAACAAGCTGTATGCTACCGAAGCCAGGGCGAACACCAGCCGAGATGTGTCCTTCTTTGTAGCCCTGCGACAGTGGTCGTACGCAGAAAGGAAGACATCTGAAAAAGTCGGTTGAAGCCAGTCTTTGGAGTACTGTAAACTGAACGCCTCGCCAATGCCCTGGACATTTTGCCACTGAGTCAACAAACTAAGGAGGTTCTGTTGCACTGGAAGTCTGCTTGGCGGCTGATGCACCATGAAGGCGGCTTGAAATGCCCTCGCTTCCGCAACGTTATCGGGAATATGACGTGAAGCGTAGATAACATCTGTATCACCAAGCGGAAGTGGAAGAGAGAACTCGTCAGGATAGATCGTCGAGGCACGAACTGAAGTGCGCTCAAGAAGGTGGTCGGTGAATCGTGGAAGCTCAAAGGCAACCCGAAGGTTTGCAAACCCTTCTGAGAAAGTCGAAAGTTTCATTCCGTAATCCATGATAGATTTCGCGGCTGGATGAAAACCATGGTGCTGTGCAAGGGGCGCAAGGCATGACCACGAAACTGTCTGCATCTTCTGAAGATGAGTGGGATACCAGACACGCCTGGTTGACAATGAACTGATCTCGCGCAAGAGATCTGCGTCGCGAGAGCGAAGCTTCATAAACGATCGGCAAGCTGCGGAATGCAAGAGATGCAAAGCCTGCTCTGTCCCTGTTCGACCCGTCAGGGGATCAGGGAGACAGCCGCTGGTAACAGCGTGAAGGAGCGCCTGATAGAGCTTGCTTGTGAGACCCACGTTCCCAGTGAGGCATTGGAGATCCGTATCAATCCTATACAACTGGTATGTCACTCGAGTACCTTCAGAAGCGATGGTGACGCGGACATGGTGACCATTAGCAGAGAATGAGATACGACCGTCTGGGATTATGACAGTGCGTGGATTCTCATCCGCAACTTGCAACTTTGGGCGCAGGATGAGTTGATTGACTAATCCTAGCATTGTGCCACTAGACTGAATGATATCAACGACCATGTTGCGCATGTTACGGGACTGCAATTCTCCATCCTCATCGATGAAGAACTCGAGGCCATATCGAGGCAAATTAGCCTTTAATGAGGGAGTGCTACATTCGCAGGATGCTTTGTTATATGTGACCATGATAAAGCATGCATCTTCCAGAGGACGCAGCCTCTTGGAGATCATGTCCCACGTTTGGCTGCGTATGTCGACAAGGGTGGCACCACTAGAGTTCTGCGCCGTTGAGGAACCCGAAACAGCAAATCGTAGGACCCAATTGTCAGATGAAGATTTCCACGCATTGTCTGCTGGCCGAATCTCAATTTCGCTCGTGTGCAGGTTAAGCCAATGAGTATGTTCCGCGGCCAAGGTGGTTGGTAAGTCGTTCACGAATTTATGGCTCGGAATGAGCTGGAGGATAGGTGAATCATCTTTGATATGCTTCGCACGGATGATGAGATCGTTCGAGTCACGGAGAGCGAAAGACACCTTCAGGAACAAGCAAGTGCGTCTTTAGTTACTGAGTGTTTACAACGAGAGTAACCACTGACCTGATGGTCACAGAAGTTTCCGCGTGTTGCATATTCCATTCCATGAATATCAGCTGGAACAATGTCCAGAACTTGCTGTAGTCGATAGGTGAGCATGTGCGAACAAAACTACAACTTTCAAAGACTCACATCGCCAAAAATCGATTGGTAAGTGGGATGCTGCACTATAATTGAAGGGAGCCTCCCCAGCTGCTTCCCGTCGACAAGCAAGCATCCACTAATCAAATTGATGTGCACGTCCTGTGGTGATTGGGAATTCGAAGGTGCAGTCTGCGCCACGAGCCAACGAGAATTCGGAGCTGCCAATGCCCTCCAAGGAGTTCCTGGTCTGTAGCTGCCCCAAATCTTGGCCATCGCGCAATCAAGACCCTCCCTGTGAAACTCTGCATATTGGCGAATAATAGGTTCTAATGCGTGGCAACACCTCTTATCTCGTTCTAGTAGTAGCTTGGAATGTTGTGGAAGATTGTCGAGTTGGCTTGGAGTGTTGTCATATATCATGACCGCACAATATACAAATACTTTGATGTCATCGTTCGACGTCAGGAGCAGTGAAGCATCTCCATCGACATCGAAAGTGCTACGACAGGTGACTGCCATATCCCGAACGCGCCCTTGCAAATCTCGGCTGACCGTTTCGTCGTTGCTGGCTTGCATTTTCTCTGATAGTTGCGTCAGCAACGTAAATGCCGCAGTTCGTATCCTTCGAAGGAGCGCATGTCCGCGATTTTTGACACTCTGTTCCTGAGTCGAGGACAAGACGCGGCACACAAGCATCACGATAGTGTCGATAGTGATAGCTTCCAGCCAATTTCTTTCAACGCTCGCCATCAAATCGTCCAGCTCTCCAAGTAGTGCAATAAGGAAGGGTATGCTGTTCAACTCCTCGTGCCAAATAAGGCCGTCGTCGGACGAAAATGGGCCGACCTGTGATATAGCTTGGGTCAGCAGTAGGTGGACCTCCTCACGTCGAAAATTGAGCGTCCTTGCACGAAGTTCACGGAGCACATTCATCCATTGTAAACGCGGTCCACTCCGCAAGGCTCCGAACGCGATGAATTCGTGGATGGTCATGTCCTTGTGACAACCTACTTGATTGGACATGACTTCGTTTGATGTGTGGGATGTCCCTTCAAGGTACTGCTGCATACCATTATATGGTCCCTTTGGAAGAAGGAAAGTGCATAACTTGGTGGCATCACATCGTAGCAGTACGTCTGTCACCCATGCATCTGTCGTTGTGTCGAAAGGCCGGAGTTGAAGCCCGTTATTGACACAGACTTTGGTGTCCACCGCAGGAATGTGAGTGTTGCCGTAATGAGACTTGGAGAAAGGCTTGGCATCCGACGCCAAAGTGATCCTTTGTCTTGCATGGCATGTACGATATTGCTTCAAGGCGTCATATTTTGGCAGTGTCATGAAGGGACAAGTGGACGAAATCGTTTCTGGAGCACAGATGTCGACGAAGATATGGAATGTCATGGATCTCCACATGTCGAACGTAATGGGGCATGCTAGCTCAAACACGACCACTATTGCCTCCTGTTCATGCTTTGGTAGCGGCCACTCGTGAACCGTAATTGTCATGGATTGCATCTCCTTCTCCACGCGACACTTTTCACATTGCTTTTTCTTGTGGCACTCCCGGCCGCGGGAGTTGACAGTGTATTTGTGCGTTAAATCGCCTGTGCGTGTCTCCAGGTCACGGTACCTCTTGTTTAAGGTCCGAAGCTCGGCCAACTTCTTCTCCCGCTGTTTCTGACCATCCGCCTCAATGCGAACCTTCAAACTCTGTAGCTCGGATGACTGGTAGAAATATCGCGATGCAAATGACTTGTCATTGCTGGTAAATGAGAATGCTGACAGATGGCTGGAAGCTTGGCAATGACGAGTTTTCAAGTAGGCGTGCAATGTCTTCAAACGATCAAGGGCGGAAGCTTGGCGGATCAAAAGACACCCCCAAAGCGTCAATGGGATTTCTGGGAAGTATTCTGCCAAAAGTGGGATTTGTCCAACGACGATCTTATCCATCGCTACCCAGAGCTCGAAAAGGGTGAGAAGCATGATAGACAAATTCTCCGGATTTCCTTTATAATCTTTAAGCGCTCTCGAAGAGTATGCAGAGGCGCATGCCTCAATCGAGACGCATGCGGAATCGACACTTCGGAGTGGAACGCGCGTCACCCAGTCATCGATCCCTAATCTGATGGCGATCTCGAAGTCTGCTAGGGCAAGATATGGTTCTGCGGTATAGGCGGCTGTCAAGAACCTAGCTTCGGCGTCAAGGAAATTATCGATTGTCCCGCGTGTGTGGTGGCTGGGATTGAATGAGGTTGTTTTGGAAGAGGAATGCTGGTTCTGTAAAGCTTCGCAGATGTACTCTCGGCTCGTGTTCAAGGAAAGATGGGTATCTCGCAAAATTCGGAGGGTCTCCGGAGCCCAAAGAGGCGAGGTCCGTTGTGCGTTCTGAACAGATCCCCATCTTTCCTCCAGGACACTCCTCACATCACCTGTGACCTTACTGACCATCTGCGACAACTCCGGAGATGAAGAGGATCCAAGCTTGAAAAGGCGGCGCGCAATCTTTGCTGACATAAAGTGTAGAATGTCGTTCGATAAGTCACGGTCAAGGGCGAGGGTTGTGAGCCTCGCCATGAAGAACAGCATGAACGATTTATACGTCGTTCGTCCGAGAGCACTGCGCTCCAGAGTCGTCTGTAAGGCAACGCGAATGACAAGCCAGAGTGGAGACCGCCTCCATGGCAATTTCGCGCTGTCCCACAGCACATCATCTCCGATGCGCTTGCGGATGCGAGGAACATCAGCGATGCTCCCGAGGCCACGCAATATACCGGTCAGGAGCTCTGTGATATACCGTGGATGCGTGGTGTCCCTCTCTTCGAGAACAATGGATTTAGCCTTTTTCCTCGTCGCTGCTGCATCGAGGACATCTTGATCCATGTGGACGAGAAAATTTGCCAGCTCGGCAGGAAAGGTAGCATTGTCAATGTTCATATCTGGGACCGTGATAGCAGGTCCAGGATAGGAACATATCAGCTTTCCCTTTGCGCCCACCACTGCGGTAGGGTCAGGAGAGACCTCAAATGACTCGAATATAGTTTCGGATTCGAGTCTTCTTATTACAACCGCAGCGTTTTGAGCGCGAATCATATATACAAGGACATCTGAAAATAAATACTCAATACAGAAAAAGAATGCGAATGAGAAAACAACAAGACCTTTGGTGTCCATAGCATTGATTTGAGATTTGACTTCTTTGGCAGACATCACGCTGAATTTGATTGAATCTTTGAGATTACAAAGCATTTTCACGCTGCTCGTCCAAAGCGGTAGCTTATTGGACGGCAGCTGGTTACTGAAGGTAATAGCAGCATCAAATACTGCCCAAGATAAGGACAGGTCGTTCTCCAGGGACTGGTCACTCCCTTGAGGCAACTTGAGGGGGAGAAAAACGTGACTGATGATATATTCCAGACTAGGTTGATCTTTTGACATGGAAAAATGATTCACTGTTGAATATTGAGATGTTACCAACGGGATGAGGGAGAGGAATTGGCCACTGACGGTGAAATTTGGCCACTCTAATAAAGAGCCCCTAGGCGCTCATCTCACGCCTCAGTAGGGTTGAATCCGCACAAAGCGAGAACCTGTGTACAATGCATCGTATTCGGAAGTTCTACATCAGATCTGAGGAGTGCCATCGATGTGAGCGTTGAACGTTAAGGCCTTACTAAGGCTAGACTCGTCAACCATTCTGCCTACATGCATTTTTTGATTTCTGCAGTAGGCTAGTAGGCACGCCACTCGAGTATCCGTGGTAGTTAAGCCAGACTACAGTGGTCACAAGCCTGCCTTGAGGTATGAGGCTGTGCATATGTGGGCGTGTACGAAGATTTGATAAGCAACTTCTTTCTTACCTCGGTTCGAACACAACCAGAGTCTGTATGAGTCATTTGCCTCAACTTCATCAGTAAACCGGTGAGTTCTTGCTGGGGATTATGCTGATTATGGTGCTTTTACATGGTCATATATTGCTTTATATCACTTTATATTACAATGTGACGAAAACCTTTCCTATATATTCCGATATCTTCTTCTCACAGGTTCTCTGATGCCCGCCCGCCTTACTTGCGTAGCGACTTGAATACTAGTAACCCATCCGGAGTCCATGGTCTTAGCTTCACGAACCGCAGGAGACATTTCGTCCGAAGAACCACCATCGTTGGAACTCAGGATTAATCAGGCGCCGCACATGGTTCTAGGCCGTCCACTCTAAGATGAATGCCTCATTGTTGCCCCAAATTTTTGTGTACGTCCTTCTGCATCGGATCTTGCCTATATAAATACCCTCTGGTCGACCACGCAACACGGTGGTGGAGTTGGGATCATGCGAGGTTCCCACTCAACCCAAAGTTCGGAACTTCAAACCATGACTCTCGATTTGCAGGTTGGACCCCGGGCGGTCTTCGCACCCGACGCTCTCTCTCCTTACCTCCTGAAGTACCTCCCTTTCTTGTTCCTCATCCATGCCTCTTAGCGGTGCCGATAGGAATCCGAGTTCTTCCCACTTTGCCTGGATCGAAAAATCCAAATGATTCTAAGGACCTACGTGGTGCATACATATTCTTCAACGAACGCTCCTTAGGTTACAACCAAATAGTCTTCAGGGTGGAGATCGAAGTAGGGGTTTGAACATCTGAAGGACGTAAAGGCAAATTATCTCCGACTCCCCGAGATGTTGCTTCGACGACAAGCTCGCACTTACTCGACCTCATTCTCGCTCTTAACTTTACACCCACCTGATTCTCTGTTTCGCAATCGAATATACATACACGCGTAGATTAATTCTAATGTTCTAGCAGAAATTCTAACACGATTGAATTCGCAAACAGTTGTCCTACCCACCACCCAGCGGCTCCATCCGCTCGCATCCCACCCTAAGCTACGCTCGGTCCAGCCCAACAATTTTAGAATCGTGTCGACAAACAGTAGCCCAGCGTAGACAAAGCTGAACTCCCGTATCTGTCAAAATTTCTGACATGCGAACCTTGTAGTATATTTTGTATTCAACCTCGTACTCACGTTGTACTCCATCATGACCTCTGCACTGATATCAGAACCAGCACTTGCCCAGCAGCAAAAGTTATCACGGGATAACTTTCGCATAGCTATGATGTTTGGTCTTGCAAAATGGGGCAGCCGCTCAGACACATCATGACGTTGCTAATCTCAAAACGAACCGTAATACCAGTGTTTGCCAAAGAAGGAAGGCGACTGGGCCCGAGGGTGGACACTGAGTGCTCTCTCTCACTTTAATGAAGTGAGTTCACAATTGACAAGCCAAAGTAGAGACCGCATCCACGGCAATTTTGTGCTGACACACACTACATCATCTCTGATGCGTTTGCGGATGCCAGGAATATAAGTGATGTTCTTCAGTTGCTCCTGAGGTCATGCAGCTGTATACCGGTCGGGAGTTCCGAAGTGCTTACACCCAATGGTCTCAATCACGGTACCACTTGCTGTGACTTATAGTCGCAGAGCTTTTACATGAGATTTGAAGGTTACCATCGGACGATTGTCAAGGCTGTACATGGGCATTTGTTCGAAGAACAACTTGAACAATGATCACAGGCCTAGTGTTAAGCCTGAAGTTTGATGCGACCAACGGAAATTGCTTATCAAAGTGTATGTCTTCTTCACGATCTGATGCTTACTAGTTTCGAATGTTCTCAGCTCCAACATTCCTCAATCAACCTTCCCTCCCTCTCCATCGCAGCAACATACTCCACAGCCTCGGCATTCGACTTTCCTCCAAACCTCTCTACTGCACCTCGCACAGCTTCACGGACGGCAGTGGGCATTTTGTTCGAAGAACTATCAGAAAGGCTTAGGGTTCATTACGTGTTACATGTAATCTGGACCCACCCTGAGATGATAAGGATGCCTCGTTGCTGCCCCAGTATTGTCCAAATATACTGTGCACATACATCCGTTTGACGCCCTCTGGTCCATCACGAGAACACGCAACGCGGTAGCGGAGTTTTCGTTCTTCCGCATGAGATTCCCATTCCGTGTGATAATGCTGATCCTTGTGTGCAGAACGGCAACCGAAGTATAAGGTAGTATCTGGGGTCATCAAGGATCAGCTCTGAGCTGATATACAAAGACAGCCAAACATACTAGTGTGTCCCTTGTGTATGCGTTGTTCGATGACGGCACGCATAGGTGCGATGCCTGTCCCTGGACCCACACACACCACTGGTGTGTTTGAATTCGTAGGAAGTGAAATAAAGCCCTTTCTGAGACCGATACGAAGGGTATCTCCTGGAGATGCATATGAGTTCAGGAACTACACTAGAACGCCGTGCGGACCTAATTGAAGCCCTGATAGATAACTAGTACAGACGCCTTTCCGATGAATTTTCAACTTCGTGCGATAGCGTACTATAGCAACACAGGATTTCACGGGGATGGAACTGATGAAACCCAGAATTGAATTGAACTGCAGCGAACACATTTTAACTCGAGCTCACCTCGATGGAACTAGCAATTGAGAACTCTCTCGGTCTCAGCGGAGGGAACAAGTCAAAGACATACTCTCCCGGTATCCTTGCGGACCGAAACTCGGACAAGACCTCCCAGGTCGTACGTCTCACGCGTTGACAATAATCATACATCTCGTCCTGCACGTCCTCAATAAAAGAAAGAAAAATGAGGAAACCTGACGTACCGCTCCTTCTATCGATACAAATTCATCAAGTTTTTCGCGTTCGAGCTCATCGGTAGCAAAATATCGCAGCAGTTGGAAAAAAAAAGCGGCGTGGCACAGCATTGAAATCGAGATAGCGTGTAAACAGAATTTGAAGGGAAACAATTTTCGGTAGATGGTCGGGCAACGTTTGATCTGTAAGATATCAGATGGGGTTTACTGCGTCCTGTTTTGTCGTACCTAACATTGTGTGTTCTACTGTGAAACAATCGTCGGCAACATTCGCTCAGCCCATGGTGACAAGGAAAGAATCGACTTCTGATGCAGCTGCAGACGGATCAGGTCTTGGGTGATGCGAAACAGAAGCAGGCCGCAGTCCGGAGCACATCATGATTAGCCAGGTACAGTCCCATCTTCATCTTGCTACTTTACAACATGAATCAACCTATGTAAACACCACCACTCATTCACGTAGGTGAAACATACCAGGGGTCCTGGGAATCGCGCTGGATAGCACACCTCATGGTCCAAATGTCGAGGAACTTCTAAGGTAATTCTGTTGCCGACATCGCACCAATACGCTGGCATTCGCGCAGGAACCTGACATTGCAGACCGTTGTTTCGATACTGAATAGCACGAAATTGTCGGAGATAAACAACGTCGTGCAGGCGCTCTCCCAAGATGCTCAGGACACGTTGATGAAGTACCTGTATAGGGATGCTGAGCTGGGGTGATAGAAGTTGCCAGCACTGGCTGTATTACACAGTATACGAGTAATGTGTGACGCTAGTCGAAGTCACAGACTTGATGTAACGGCACCATAAGCAAAACAATAGAGTCTCTCGCGCAACGTTAACCAGATATCAGTCCGGGTAAATTGGGAAAGAACTATATGTTCTAAGGCTTTGAAGCTGGCCCGACATGCGGCCAACTGCCAGGGTCCGGTTCTAGACTGTGGCCGGTTCGATCAAGGTAATCGCCACATAACGACTCATCGAAGAACTGCATGTCTCCGCAGCTACGTATACCTTGCAATATTGCATCAGGCATATCCGTCTTTCAGCTACACGGCAGAATAACCATAAATACCCAAGCATTCTAGTATTTGACATGACGCAGCAAGACGCATAATGTTTCAGATCCACTACAAATTTGACTACAGATTCAAAAACTACTAATCATGATGAAGACCAATGTTGACACAATCGCTGTTGACTGGAACTGCAGTCAGTAAGGTCCTTGGTAGAAAGGCGAAAACTCACGCTAAACAGACACGGCGCTCAATCCAGAAAATCCCCCTCGGTCAGAATGCGCCCATTGAACATCTTTCCGAGGTGAGTTGGCACATACCCCATGCCTTTCCTTCTCATTCCGAACAACTTCTTCAGTGGAGGAAGCTGGGATCGCTTGAACGGACATAATGCTCTCGCAGAAGAGCGATTCTCCTCCCTGATGAATCCATCACTGTCGGCTATCAAATCCTCGTCCTCCAAATCCGGTGCGTTGAGCCCTAAGAAATTGCAAGTGCGGAGATACATCTCGTAACTGGAGAAATACAGTTGACCCGCAAAAAGGTTGAGCTGGTAAATCAGCGGTTCCACTGGGGTCGGATGTGGGGTCGAAGGAACACGGTACAGTCGGAGATCATCACATGCCTTCATCGTGTTTGTGGTCCGAGGAGTATAGACGCACAACTGAACTACGTTACTGTTGCGGATATCAGGCAACAGTGCGTCCACTTCGTGCGGACTCATCACTACCAGCACTCCAACGTCACTGAGCACGATCCAATTGACGGGCCGCAAGTATTCATCCGCTTTCTGTGTGGTAAGGATAGTCCCCACCGTACGAGCGAAGTCACGGGTTACTAAAACGTTGTGCGCCCACCGATTGCCTTCATGAAATTCAGCGGTGGTGTTGACAAGGCTGGATAGCGCTGGAATGAAAGCGGGGGACCCTATGGGAATTCGGCCGGTCTTGACAAATTGACGAACGTGCGCATGCAACTCCTGAGTTGCAGGTTGCACTTTGTGCGGTCTTTGAACTTGACGTTCTCTCTCTACCTCATGGACTACCTCTCTTTCTTGTTCCTCATCCATGCTCCTGTCGGGTCCCGTTAGAACTCCGAGTTCCTCGCATTTGCTTCGAATGTCTGCATCGCAAATGTGGGATACCTGCAGAGGACTGCGTGGCACATACATATCCTCTAATGAACGTTCCTCTGGCTGCAACCAGGCTGTTCTCAGAGTGGAACTTGAAGCGGTAGGCGCGCGCGAGAAATGAGTCCATGCAGAATACCGGGCGCTAAAATCCGATCCCTGTTCAACCCAGTGGAATGTACGCATTTGAATGTCGCGACATGTTTCGAGCATCGACCAGTGCAGGATATCTGCAACATCGACATGGTCCGTATCAGTTTTCTGAGTCGCCGAGCGAATGCTTCGGTCAACTTCTGTCGGAGCAAAGAACATCACTGAGTGACCATTTCCCAGCTTCCGCATTCGCATGCATCCTGTGTCGTTGGTTATTGTCAAAATCGATATGCATGAACTCTGGAATCACGAACCTTGCATCAGGCGGTCTTTCGTGACTTTCGGACCAAGCGTGACAGCAGCTCGGAAGCCAGAAGGCAGCTTGACATCTGTTCCTCTGGTGTGCGCGTCATCAAGATATATCACACACTGGTCGAGCTGTTGGGCGAAGGGAGACGACACAAGAGGCTCTACTGTCCCATCCCGACTGATAACAACGATTTCGTCATCGTCGTTCACAAAGACTGCAGCTTGGGCGTTGTGCTTAGCTCGAAGCCATGTTTCGGCCAATTCCTGATTCTCCAATTCCAGCATCTGCGCACCCACGTCCAGGAGCACGCGGACCTCGGGGGTTTGTGCTATTAAGGTGTCGATGAAGTATTGCACCCTCTGGCCTGACGGTATGAGTCCGTAGCAATTGTTTTCTGGCCGCAAAATGAATGCCAGGACCCGGGCATTCGTGCTGCGTTGATAATCAAGGTCATGCTGTACCATCGAGCTTGGTAAAAGATAGCGATTGTCGTTTGTACCAGAAAAGCCGGTGGTGAGATTTCTCTTCTTTTGCGCGAGATCCCACCCGGAGCAGGTGAGCTTGCTGGGGAATGCCTTTGCTTCCTTGGGAAAAACTATTCGGGACAGGTAGAAATCTATGACCGCCTTGTTGAATTTGAACAGTCGTTGAAGGTCAGGGAGCTGCTCTGCGGATTCCATATTGATTCCACTAAGCTGACGCAGACTTTTTGGGACGGACGCAAGCCCAGCAACCCAAGATTCATACTCGAGGGTAGGATTGTCTTGCTTCAGCAGGAGCTCGAAGCATAGCATCAACTGCTGGAGCGTGAGACCCCCATAATAGTATGACAGGCATGTGAGGGTAACAGCAACGTCCGGGTGGCCAAACTCTGCCCGCAGCGAGGGCATATCTTTTGCGCGAAATGGAACAGCTAGCATTGTTCGTTTTGGGGCAAGGCCATAGTCCACGCGCCAGCGACGTTCCTTGAGAGCGTACACCAAGATACCACATGCCAGCAGTCCACGCAGGACTAGGAGGCCTGGCCAGACCGTAGTGTGTCTATAGCGATCCTCCACTACGCTGACACAAGTACTGGATATATTCTCAGTTACGATAAAGCGGCAAACAGCTTCTTTCACGTGGAGGGGTACTTGATCGAAGCTGATGTTTTCAAGGGCGCCATTGATGACATCCTGTGCGATCCATTGAATCAATGCTTGACCTGCTGTCGGGTGCAGAACACGAGTGAAAGGAAACTCTCCATGTTCGCGAGTGGACACTTCTGATCGAGAGGGAAATCCATTCATGAGCCGAGTGGCGTGCTTCGCGACAAGACTCAACACTTGCTGCGTTGTCGTCCACCTTTCTGGATGTCCTTGAAGTGACCTTTGGAGCCCCACAGTGTATACCAGCTGGTAGCGGACGTGCAGAATTTCATCGCTTTCATCCAGGATGTCCCGTGTGTGATTGTCGAGCCATAGCTGAGTCCGCAGCATATCTTCAGCAGCTTCAGTCCGAAGGGACAGTTGACGGTCAACAGCCATCAGCTGGAATGACAGAATATGATCCGGTTGCACAACCAAGACCCCTTTGGCGTCTATGCATTCTTGCATTAGGTTACGATACATTTGCACCTTCGACGAGTTGATAGAGAGTGCGCGGGAAAATGGGATATAGAAAATACGCCTTTGTGCGAGACCGCTTAGTCGTTCGACCAAGAGCTGGAACATCTGAGCCGACAATGACTTCAGCACGATCACTCGGACCAGTTTATGGCCATCAGAGAGTGCGGCTGCTGCGAGGGGAACGATAACGTAGGATTTGCCTTCACCCATGTTCAGTTGAAGGGAAGTATTTCTTCCTGTGCATGGTGACATCATCTCCAGTGCGACCTTGACCTGGACTGGCCGTGCCAAGAACTGACTTTCAATCTGAAAATGCCATTATCAATTATCATTAATCATCGATTTCTGTATAGCGTACCTGTATCAAAAGCCAGTCAGGGTACAGCTCCGGATCAAATCCTTCGCATTCTTCGCTATCCAGCTCCTTGAAGAACTCGACCCAATTTTTGTTAGCGGCAAAGACCAGCAGCCTTCGCGAGCGTTGCAGTTGCAAAAGTATCTGCGACAGCTGGACAAGAGTAGCACGCCAAGCCTTCCCGGAAGAACTTCCTGCTGCAGAAGCCATGCGTGTGAAAAGGAAATTTGGTGTAATTCGAGGCCATAATCCGGCATTGTATAACGTGTTCTCAGTAGCAGAGGTAGGGGAGAGGGCGTGTGAGATAGATGCGAGTGAGTCTTGGAATTGTCGGCTATGGAAAGAATGGTTCTCGAGTAGTAGTTCCATCGTGTATGGTGTAGAATCTGGTGGGGCAACGATCTTTTCGTCACAGTAGATCAACCTACTCCGGTCTAGATCATTAGCGTATTTGTGATGAAACTTGTCAGTTCCTCGTGCGCGAAAGTCGTTGATCAGCTGTTGCAACCTCGCTGTAACTTGGGAACTTGGAGATACCAAATCTCTCTGATTGACATTGGGCAGAACTTGAGATGACCCGCACATGCCTGTCACAGGCGGATCTCTACCGAACAGATACTGGGCATCAACGGATGAGGCCAGTGATACAACATCCGAGTCCTGAAGGCGGGAACGGAGATCATATCGAGAGGGTAGTTTGGAAGGAGGTTTGGGCGTATAGAACTGTTTGAGCGTCTCCTGCAGGCCATCCAGGTGTAGCTTCAGACAACGATTTTGCCAACAGCTGCGAAATACTGGAAAAAGTTTCCCTGGCAGTTCATTAAGATTGTAGTACTCCACTTGCAGCGTATTGAGTGCCGGAGGATTTTCGCATGGACACGCATCCCGAACTTTGTTGAGAATGACTTGCTTTTCAGAGTAACACTTGCCTTCGAAGGCTGAACGACGACGCTTCTCCAGAACCTTTTTACTTTCGCCAGGCATTGCAGGTAGGTGTTTCTCCTGGCTCATTTCGTACTTTTTGGAGCACGAACTGATTATATCGTCCAATCTCTTATCAGATGGCATAAAACCATGCGAGAGATCATAGGAGGTGAGCTTTGGTGGGCCTCCCAGGCTGCGAATTTCGGGAACTGTGGCGAAGGCTAAGAGTGTTGGCACGAGCGCATGATCATCCGACAAGCTGTATGATACCGAAGCCAGGGTGAAAACCAGCCGAGATGTGTCTTTCTTTGTAGCCTTGCAACAGTGGTCGTACGCAGAAAGGAAGATGTCAGGAAAAGCCGGTTGAAGCCAGTCTTTGGAGTACTGCAAGGTGAACGGCTCGCCAATGCCCTTGACATTTTTCCACTGAGTCAATAAACGAAGGAGATTCTGTTGCACTGGAAGTCTGCTTGGCCATTGATGTACCATGAAAGCGGTTTGAAATGCCCTCTCTTCCGCCACTTTGTCGGGAATATGACGTGAAGCGTAGATAACATCTGTATCGCCAAGTGGAAGTGGAAGAGAGAACTCGTCAGGATAGATAACCGAGGCACGAACTGAAGCGCGCTCAAGAAGGTGGTCGGTGAATTGTGGAAGCTCAAAGGCAACCGGAAGGTTTGCAGACCCTTCTGAGAAAGTCGAAAGCTTCATTCCGTAATCCATGATAGATTTCGCGGCTGGATGAAAACCATGGTGCTGTGCATGGGGCGCGAGGCATGACCAGGAAATTGTCTGCATCTTCTGAAGATGAGTGGGATACCAGACGCGACTGGTTGACAGCGAACTGATCTCGCGCAAAAGATCTGCGTCGCGAGAGCGAAGCTTCATAAACGATCGGCAAGCCGCGGAATGCAAGAGATGCAACGCCTCCTCTGTCCCCGTTCGGCCCGTCAGGGGATCAGGGAGACAGCCGCTGGTAACAGCGTGAAGGAGCGCCTGATAGAGCTTACTTGTGAGACCCACGTTCCCAGTGAGGCAGCATAGATCTGTGTCAACTCTGTACGACTGATATGTCACTCGAGTACCTTCAGGAGCGATGGTGACGCGGACATGGTGACCATCAGCGGAGTATGAGATACGACCGTCTGGGATTATGACCGTGCGCGGATGCTCATCCGCAACTTGCAACTTTGGGCGCAGGATGAGTTGATTGACCAATCCTAACATGCTGCCACTAGACTGAACGACATCAACGACCATATTGCGCATGTTACGGGACTGCAACTCTCCATCCTCATCGATGAAGAATTCGAGGCCATATCGAAGCAAATCAGCCTTCAACAAGGGAGTGCCACCGGATGCTTTGTTCAGTGTGACCATGATGAAGCCTGCATCTTCCAGAGGACGCAGCCTTTTGGAGATCATATCCCATGTTTGGCTGCGTATGTCGACAAGGGTGGCACCACTGGAATTCTGCGCTGTTGAGGAACCCGAAACGGCAAATCGCAAGACCCAATTGTCAGATGAAGATTTCCACGCATTTCCGGCTGGACGAATCTCGATCTCGTTCGTCTGCAGGTTAAGCCAATGAGTATGGCCCACGACTAAGGGGGTCGGCAGGTCTTCCATGAATTTGTGGCTCGGAATGAGTTGGAGGATAGGTGAGTCGTGTTCAATATGCTTCGCACGGATGATGAGATCATTCGAGTCACGGAGAGCAAAAGACACCTTCAGGGACAGGCGAGTGCATCATGAGTTACTGAGTAATAGCGACGAGAGCAACCACTAACCTGATGGTCACAGAAGTTCCCACGTGTCATATATTCCATTCCACGAATATCAGCTAGAATGGTGTCCAGAACTTTCTGTAGTCGATAGGTGAGCGTGTATCAAAAAGCTACAACTGACAAAGACTCACATCGCCAAAAATCGATTTGTAAGTGGGATGTTGCGCTATCTTTGGAGGGAGCCTGCTCAGCTGCTTCCCGTCAACAAGCAAGCATCCGCTAATCAAATTGATGTGCACGTCCTGTGATGATTGGGAATACGAAGGCGCAGTCTGCGTCACGAGCCAACGAGAATTCGGAGCCGTCAGTGCCCTCCAAGGAGTTCCTGGTCTATAGCTGCTCCAAATCTTGGCCACCGCGTAATCAAGACCCCTTCTATGAAATTCTGCATATCGACGAATGACGGGTTCTAATGCGTGGCAACATCTCTTGTCTCGCTCTAGTAGTAGCTTGGAATGTTGTGGGAGGTTGCCCAGTTGACTTGGAGTGTTGTCATAAATTATGACCGCACAATATGCAAAAACTTTGATGTCATCGTCTGACGTCAGGAGCAGCGAAGCGTCTCTGTCGACATCAAAAGTGCTACGACAGGTGACTGCCATATCCAGAACGCGCCCTTGTAAATCTCGGCTGTCCGTCTCGTCGTTGCTTGCTTGCATTTTCTCTGATAGTTGCGTCAGTAACGTAAAAGTCGCAGTTCGTATCCTTCGAAGGAGCGAATGTCCGCGACCTTTGACACTCTCTTCCTGAGTCGCGGACAAAATGCGGCACACAAGCATGATGATAGTGCTGATCGTGACAGCTTCCAACCAATTGCCTTCGACGCTCGCCATCAAATCCTCCAGCTCTCCGAGTAGTGCGCCAAGGAACGGCACATTGTTCAAGTCCTCATGCCAAATAAGGTCGTCGTCGGATGAAATTGGGCCGACTTGTGAAACTGCTTGGGCCAACAGAAGATGGATCTCCTCACGTCGAAAATTGAGCGTCCTTGCACGGAGCTCACGGAGCACATTCATCCATTGCAAATGCGGTCCACTCCGCAAGGCTCCGAACGCGATGAATTCGTGAATGGTCACGTCTTTGCGACAATCTGCCTGATTGGCCACGACCTCGTTTGACGTGTGGGATGTCCCTGCAAGGTACTGCTGCATACCATCATATGGTCCCTTCGGAAGAAGGAAAGTGCACATCTTAGTGCCGTCGCATCGTAGCAGTACGTCTGCCGCCCATGCACCTGTCGTTGTGTCGAAAGGCCGAAATTTGAGTCCGTTGTTTACACATACTTTGGTGTCCGGCGCGGGAATGCGAGTGTTGCTGTAATGAGACTTGGAGAAAGGTTTGGCATCTGACGCTAAAGTGAGCCTTTGTCTTGAATGGCACGTGCGATATTGCTTCAAGGCGTCATATTTTGGCAGGACCATGAAAGGATGAGCGGATGAAATCTTGTCTGGAGTGCAGATGTCAACGTAGACATGAAGTGTCAAGGATCTCCACATGTCAAACGCAATGGGGCACGCTAGCTCAAACACGACCACTATCGCCTGCTGTTCACGCTCTGGCAGCGGCCACTCGTGAACTGTAATCGTCAAGGATTTCATCTCCTTCTCCACATGACACTTTTGACACCGCTTTTTCTTGTGGGACTGCGAGCCGCTAGAGTTGACGGCGTATTCGTGCGCTAAAATTGCTGCGAGCACCTGTAAGTCACCATATCTCTTGTTTAGGGTCTGAAGCTCAGTAAGCTTCTTCTCTCGACGTTTCTGACCATCTGCTTCGATGCAGACTTTCAAACTCTGCAGCTTGGATGACTGGTAAAAATATTGCGCTGCGAACGACTTGTCGTTGGTAAACGAGAATGCCGACAGACGGCTGGAAGCTTGGCAATGACGAGCCTTCAGGTAGGCGTGCAATTTCTTCAAACGATCAAGAGCAGAAGCTTTGCGGATTAAAAGACACTCCCAAAGCGTCAATGGGATTTCGGGGGAGTATTCAGCCAGGAGTGGAATTTGTGCAACGACGATCTTATCCATCGCTACCCAGAGCTCGAAAAGGGTGAGAAGCATGATAGATAAATTCTCCGGGTTTCCTTTATAAGCCATAAGCGCTCTTGAGGAGTACGCAGATGCGCACGCCTCAATTGAGATGCATGCAGAATCAACACTCTGGAGTGGAACGCGCACCACCCAGTCGTCAATCCCAGAACTAATGGCAGTCTCGAAGTCTGTGAGGGCAAGAGTCGGTTCTGCGGCATGAGCGGCCATCAAGAAGTTAGCTTTGGCGTCAAGGAAATTATTGATTGTCCCGCGCGTATGGTGGCTCGGATTGAAGGGGGTTGTTGGAGGGGATAGATGTTGGTTCTGCAAAGCTTGATGTATGTACCGTCGGCTCGTGTTCAAGGAAAGACGAGTATCTCGCAACACTTCGAGGGTCTCGGGAGCCCAAAGGGGCGAGGCGCGTTGTGCGTTCTGAACAGATCTCCATCTTTTCTCCAGGACACTCCTTACATTCGTGGTTACAACGGTGACCATCTGCGATAACTCTGGAGAAGTAGAGGATCCAAGCTTGAAAAGACGACGTGCGATCTTTGCCGACATGAAGTGTAAGATGTCATTCGACAGGTTATGGTTGAGGGCGAGGGTCGCGAGCCCCACCATGAAGAACAGCATAAATGATTTATACGTCGTTCGTCCGAGAGCACTGCGCTCCAGAGTCGTCTGTAAGGCAACACGAATTACAAGCCAAAGTGGAGACCGCCTCCACGGCAACTTCACGCTGTCCCACAGCACATCATCTCCGATGCGCTTGCGGATGCGAGGAACATCAGCGATGCTCCCGAGGCCACGCAGTATACCGGTGAGGAGTTCCGTGATATACCGCGGATGCGTGGTGTCCCTCTCTTCGAGAACAGTGGATTTAGCCTTTGTCCTCGTCGCTGCTGCATCAAGGACATCTTGATCCATGTGAACAAGAAAATTTGCCAGCTCGGCGGGAAAGGTAGCGTTATCAATGTTAATGTCTGGGACTGTGATGGCAGGTCCAGGATAGGAACATATCAGCCTTCCCTTCGCGCCCATCACTGCGGTGGGGTCAGGAGAGACCTCAAATGACTCGAATATAGTCTCGGATTCGAGTTTTCTCATGACTACTGCAGCGTTTTGCGCGCGAATCATATATACAAGAACATCTGAAATTGATACTCAATACAGAAAAAGAATGGGAATAAGATAAAAACAACAGACCTTTAGTGTCCATAGCGTTGATTTGACATTCGACTTCTTTGACAGACATCACGCTGAATCTGATTGAATCTTTGAGATTGCGAAGCATTTTTAAGCTGCTCGTCCAAAGCAGCAGCTTATCGGGCGGTATCTGGTCAATGAAGGCGATAGCAGCTTCAAACACTACCTGAGATAAGGCCAGGTCGTTCTCAGGGGATTGGTCACTCCCCTGCGGCAACTTGAGGGGAAGAAATACGTGATTGATGATATATTCCAGACTAGGTTGATCATTTGAAAGACGATTTACTGTTGAATATTGAGCCATGTTACCAATGGGATGAGAGAGAGGAACTGGCCACTGACGGTAAAGTTTGGCCATTCTAATAAAGAACCCCTAGGCGCTCATCTTCACGCCTCACTGTCACCGTTACTAGTGTTGGGTCCGCCGCACAAGCGAGAATCTTCAAGCCAATAATGTATCACAGAAGTTTCACATCAGATCTGAGGGTGCCATCGATATGAGCGTTGTTTGAGGGTCTGAGGTTGTGCATCATGCACCATGGGGCATGTACTGGAAATTGGATCATGCATGCCTGAAGTGATAAGGAACTTCTATTTCAATCGTGAGTCGAGACTAGGAAGTTCGAAGTTGCACGTGGCAAAACTGTGGAGTCTGCTTACAAATTATGTATGTCGAAGAACTGAACTTGGAATTTAGGATTAGCTTAATCAAGCGCCACACATACTAGTAGGCCGTCCGTCAAATGAGGATGCCTCGTTGTTGCCCCAAAAAACTGAGTGCGTCCTTCTGCATCGGATCTGGTATATATAAATACTGTAACATTTAGCACTCTCTGCCAATCAGCCACGAGAACATGCAACGCGGTGTTGGCGCTGGGGTCGTGCGAGGTGCCCACTGAACTCAAATCATGAATCTTGATCTGCAGATTGAACCCTTCGCGGTCTTTGTACTCGACGCTTTCTCTCTGCCTCGTGAAGTACCTCCCTTTCTTGTTCCTTATCCATGCCTCTCAGCGGCCCTGTCAATAGAAATCTGACTTCTTTGCACTTTGTCTGGATCGAACCCAAATAGTTCCAGGGACCTACTTGATGCATACATATCCTCCAATGCACGCTCCTCAAACTCCAACCAAGCAGTCTTCAGGGTGGAGATCGAAGTAAGGGTACATGAATGTTTGATAGACGTGAAGGCAAATTATCCTGAGGTGTTGTTTCGATGACAAGCTCAAACTTACTTCAACTCATTCTCACTCCCAACATTTATTTTGCACCCACCGTATTCTCTGTTCCACGATCAATCATGCATACGCACGTAGAATAATTTCAACGTTCGAGCAGAAATCGATTGCCTTTTTTCCCTTTCCAAGTCTGACACGATCAAATTTGCCAACGGTTGTCCCGCCCACCCAGCAGCTCCATCTGCTCGTGTCCCACCTCAAGTTATGCTCAGTCCAGCCCAACCATTCTAGGATCGTGTCAACGAACAGTAGCCCAGCGCAGACGAGGCTGAACTCTGTCGATCTTTGAAATGATTGCAAGCATCGGCAACAATGTGTACATCTTTAGATATTATTGAAGTACTTGACTTCTCCACTCCTCCCTCACTCGTTCCGCTCACGACTGAGGTGAGTACCATAGTTGATTGGATAGAACCTTACTGACATGTACTAGTCTTCGCGTTGTTAGACTCCGTATCTGTCAAAAATGTGGTGCTATCTTTTTCATTTCTGACATGCGAATCTTGCATGTTTGTTTCCAACCTTGTACCATCAAAAGTTATATCAAGATAACTTCTCGCATGTTCGGTCTTGCAAATGGGGCAGCCGCTCCAACACATCGCGACGTTGCTGATCTTAAATGGAACCTGTAATACTAATGTTTTGCCAAAGAAAGAAGGCGACTGGGCCCGAGGGTGGGCACTAAGTGCTCTCACTTTAATGAAGCACATGTACAAGGGTGCGGAGTGTCAGGCTGGGGTGATGTGAGCGGGTACGTTGTTCGCCCGAGAGCATTACGCTCCAGAGTCATCTGTAAGGGAACGAGAATGATAAACCGAAGTAGAGACTGCATCCACGTGCTGACCCATACTACATGCATCTCCGATGCGCTTGTGGATGCCAGGAACATTAGTGATGCCTCTCGAGTTGCTCCTGAGGTCACGCAGCTGTATACCGGTCGGAAGTTCCGAAGTGCTTACGCCCAATGGTTGCTAGGTCTCCAAATCACAATATCACTTGCTGTAACTTATAGCTTTTACATGAGAATTGAGGGCTGCCATCATTGAATGATCGTCAAGGCTGTACATGGGCATTTACTCGAAGAACAACTTAAACAATGATCACAGCTTTGGTTTTGAGCCCGAAGATTTGATGCGGCCAAAGGAAATTGCTTATCAAAGTGTATGTCTTCTTCACGATTTGATGCTCACTAGTTTCGAATATTCTCAGCTCCAACATTCCTCAATCAACCGTCTCTCCCTCTCCATCGCAGAAACATACTCCACAGCCTCGGCATTCGACTTTCCTCCAAACCTCTCCACTGCACCTCCCACAGCTTCACGGACGGCACTAGGCATTTTGTTCGAAGAACTATCAGAAAGGCTTAGGGTTCATTACGTGTTACATGTAATCTGGACCCACCCTGAGATGATAAGGATGCCTCGTTGCTGCCCCAGTATTGTCCAAATATACTGTGCATCCTCTTTCATCAGATCTTGCACATACGTCCGTTTGACGCCCTCTGGTCCATCACGAGAACACGCAACACGGTAGCGGAGTTTTCGTTCTTCCGCATGAGATTCCCATTCCGTGTGATAATGCTGATCCTTGTGTGCAGAACGGCAACCGAAGTATAAGGTAGTATCTGGGGTCATCAAGGATCAGCTCTGAGCTGATATACAAAGACAGCCAAACATACTAGTGTGTCCCTTGTATATGCGTTGCTCGATGACGGCACACATAGGTGCGATGCCTGTCCCTAGACCCACACACACCACTGGTGTGTTTGGATTCGTAGGAAGTGAAATAAAGCCTTTTCTGAGGCCGATACGAAGGGTATCTCCTGGAGATGTATATGAGTTCAGGAACTACACTAGAACGCCGTGCGGACCTAATTGAAGCCCTGATAGATAACTAGTACAGACACCTTTCCGATGATTTTTCAACTTCGTGCGATAGCGTACTATAGCAACACAGAGATGGATTTCACGGGGATGGAACTGATGAAACCCAGAGGTAAATTGAACTGCAGCGAACACATTTTAACTCGAGCTCACCTCGATGGTACTAGCAATTGAGAACTCTCTCGGTCTCAGCGGAGGGAACAAGTAAAAGACATACTCTCCCGGTATCCTTGCGGGCCGAAACTCGGACAAGACCTCCCAGGTCGTACGTCTCACGCGTTGACAATAATCATACATCTCGTCCTGCACGTCCTCAATAAAAGAAAGAAAAATGAGGAAACCTGACGTACCGCTCCTTCTATCGATACAAATTCATCAAGTTTTTCGCGTTCGAGCTCATCGGTAGCAAAATATCGCAGCAGTTGAAAAAAAAGAGCGGCGGGGCACAGCATTAAAATCGAGATAGCGTGTAAATAGAATTCGAAGGGAAACAATTTTCGGTAGATGGTCGGGCAACGTTTGATCTGTAAGATATCAATCAAATGAGGTTTACTGCGTCCTGTGTTGTCGTACCTAACATTGTGTGTTCTACTGTGAAAAAATCGTCGGCAACATTCGCCCAGCCCATGGTGACAAGGAAAAAAAGAGTCGACCTCTGATGCAGCTGCGGATGGATGGATCACAGCAACATCTCCAGGATTATATCTGAGATTTCCCATCAGTAGTCGCCAATTCAAAAGACAAAGACTCATACTTTATATCGTCTTCGAAGGAGAACTCAAAATGGCGTACGTCCTGAGACCAATTTTCCGCAGTGATCCGTCTGTTGCACTTCACCGAAGCTGTATAAAACTTCGTGTCTTCATCTAGAGGATCTGGATTCAGCGACGTATCAGATCCTATATTATTCAAGGATACGCGAGGTGGTGGTCGACCAGCAGGAACATTATCCTGCTCGTGCGGCAGTGGGTAGAGCTATGTAAGAACTTCTAGGAGACATTCAATCCATGGGTCCAATGCACCGTCCACCCTGCACTTTGATCAGCCACGTGAAACGCAGTAAACAAAGGATACACACCCCATGCGATGCTGTTCGTCTCCCTCTCCCCGTGAGCAAATTTCATACCCTCCCAAACTTTGCATCCTTCTCGATAGCTTCTTCGCCGGCCAACAGAATTTCTCATAAGCCGTGTCTCCAAGGCCGAACACGCAGAAATCCATGTTCTCGAATAGGTCATCTGGGAGATCAGACCTTAGCAACATGTTCCATAATGAACTCATGGCTCTGGGTTCAGCTCCCCAGCCAGTGGTCGAAACCACGAAGATGACCAAGTGTTCCGAAATCAATGTTTCCTGCACAGGACCTGAGTATTATGTTACAACGATTGGGAAGCCGCCTACTGGTGGATACGCATCCATGCTCTGCACACGACAGTGAAAATGGACTCTTCGACATTCCCTCGCAATGCGATCAGCAGCCTCTTGAGCTGTACCTGTTTCTGTAGCGTAAAGAATCAAAAGTTCGCGAGACACAGATGAATATTGATATTCTCCTGTTCCATGATCATCGTGTGTAAACATATGTTGGACGTTTAATGAACATGAAGCCAGATTTCCAGACAGCTGTGAAAAAAAAGAACGTTTGCCTTCCTTCTTTCAAGGTCTGACTCCAGGAGCCTCTACTGGATAACTTGTCACGGTGCACGTGATCTGATCACTGTACTGACGGGTCGAGCTCTAAGCTCTTGCCCTCAGACTTTCTAAAGTACTAATAGCAAGGTAGTTCGAATGTCAGATTCAGACCAGTCCATTTCTATACGTCAGTGTTCCATGCAGCCTGTGTGTTTTTCCTCTTCATATTAGGTTGTTTCCACTGTTTCATTTTCACGCAGAGGAACTATCATGCGAGAAAAAAGAAGAGACCCTCACAGTCAGATTCTCGATCTCCCAACGCTTATGCCACGCGCCAATCCAGCAAAACAACGCAGAGCATTCCACGATCATTATCACAGCAACCACCTGCCGCTACCGCATTGGCAGCTGGGACGTCATTGCACACTGATACCACCATAGAGCAGGCCAGATAGTGGATTCGGTTCTTATGATGGATGGTATGTCTATTCAGTACACCAAGGGTCGATATTAAGGAAGACGAATGGCAGATTTCGTGCATCATTTTGACATCTCCCATCCTCATCCTATGCCTATACTCCATCATCGTACTTATATATGTATAAGCACCGTGCTGACTGAACTTGAAGCTTGAAGTGTTCTCAAGATACTGTAAAAGATGTACAAGACTAGCCAATGCCTATTTTGTTTTGCTCCCTCTCTTTCGCGGCCCTTTTCAGACAGCTGTGGAAAAAGAACGTTTGCCTTCCTTCTTTCAAGGTCTGACTCCAGGAGCTAGAAGTCACGATGGATTGGACTTCGGGAAAAACACCTATGTAGTAGTAGCCGAAAGACCCGATAGCGGCTCCGGCCGATTTTCCGACGACTTGGTAAAGGGTTGAAACGTTGCACTACATACCAGTACAATGTTTAATTCTAGATATTTTAAAATGGAGGGTCCTAGAATCTATGCAGGAATGGTCCCATTCAACCTAAAGTCCCTGCTACTTGCACCAACAGAGAACGTCATAGTTCCTTCTGGTTTTGCCCACCCCTGGCGAACAACATCCCAAACAGAAAGATCGTAGCGGGACAGAGTGATTGATGCAGAAGTAGTCTGTCCTGGCGAGACCACGACATTCGTAAAGCCCTTGAGGACCGAAGGTGGTTCACCGGCTGAGGGTGAGTGATGGATGTATAATTGGGGAACCTAGAGGACAATTGTCAATGGTTTTGGCAAAAGAATGGCGGGAGGAAGGGTGTACCTCGCCACCGTATAAAGCACCAGTATTTGTTACATCAAAGGTAATCTTATGTGCTGGCATATGCAACCTTTTCGTAGATCATTAGTCTGATTTGATACAATGGAACTGCCATATTCATGTACAGACCAGAGAGCAGTTGTCGACCCTTCCGCAATGGGTGTTGCACCCCCGTCTTCCCAATTATGAACCAGATCCGTTTGTGCGTAGTCTTCGTGGTATATCTTCGTGATAGCAAGGTTAGAGTACTCAAAAGTCGTGTAACTCAATCCGAAGCCAAACTCATAACGAGGTGTGATGTTTTGCTGTGGACAGTCAATACTGGTTGAGACTGCGAAAAGCACAGTAGTACTTACTGCATCGAACCAGCGGTAGTCAATGAAGAGACCCTCGGTGTAGTTTATGGACAGGATATCTGCTGCAGTACCACCCGTTACGAGCTGGGCAGGATAGTCCGCGGGGCTCTTTGCAATGGTGTACGGTAGTTTTCCAGATGGGTTCCAGGCCCCGTAAAGAATGTCAGCGATGGCATTGCCAGCTTCGTTGCCACCAAGGTTAGCCCAAACAATCTGTATATCCAGTTGTCAGCAGGTGTGTATGAACTATTTGATGCAATACCCACGGCAGTGACGTTCGGGTGATCAACCCAAGGTTCGATTATCAAAGGACCAACAGAGTTGGTGACCACGATAGTGTTGTTATTCTGAGCAGCGACAGCAAGAATGAGCTGGTCACCCTGATGCCACGCAGACAGATTCTGCCTATCGCCCGCATTTCCATCAACAGTGATGTAACCCTAAGAAGCGTTGTGTTCAAGCAAGTCGTATGAACCGAAATCAAGGTTGGACGACCCACCTCACCCGAATCGGAGTTAACAAAAACAATGGCGGCTTCCATGCCAATGACGGAGTTGCCTGCCGCGGCGAGGTCCCAGTCATCAAAGTCCCAGAAAACACTGGTCTGGTCCACTCTGGCGCGTGCTTGAATGGCTTCGTAGGGCTGAAAGGCCAGGGCAATCGTTACACAGGACGATTGGGCAAAAGTCAAGATTACTTACGGAGACAAGGTATGTGAAGTTGTCGGTACTTAAGTGCAGAAGCGCTTGAGAGATATCGTAATGCATGAAAACCGCCACTTACCCGGAACCCCAGCCCATCGCAAGAATGCCACTTGGATCGCCACCCTGGTCGGTGTACTCGTTAGGACCCGAAGTTGGTGGAGCAGCATCACTGCCAACTAAAACGATGTTCTTCGGCTTGCACAGAGGGAGTGCACCTTCATTCTTGAGAAGAACTGTACCAGCGGCACCAATCTCGCGTACAATTAGATAATGATCACTTTGCGCATTGACCTCTTGATTAAGAGGGTTGTATAGGTCGAATGAAGACACAGTAGTATTTGGGTAGCCTTCATCCTGGTGCAAGAAGTACCATGCAGCAATAATCCGTGTCGCCATATCATCAAGCCGCTGTATAGAGATAGTGTCGTTCAAGACGAAGTCCGTGAGATTCTGACCAAAGTAAGTAGTCCCCGAACCCATGGTTATGTCTCCAGGCATCGTCAACTAGTGACATCAGATCAGTGTTCTGAGACATAATCGATACTGCACTTACATCAAGACCAGCGACAGCGCCAAGGGTGTCCATTGTCGCAGCCCAATCAGATTGGATGACTGGACAAGCTCAGACAGCTCAGGGGCTATTGATCCAAAATATCGAATTTGACTCACAGCCTTGGAAGCCAAACTCGCGTTTCATTATGTCGTTGAGGGTTTTGTTGTTATTGCAAGCATAAGTGTCATTGACCAAGTCTGAATATTTGGTTGAATGAGGCACTGACCATTCAATGTTGGGAGACACTCACTATAACTGCACATAACCGATGAGACACCCGCCATTACAGAGCGCATAAAAGGATGAGCGTAAATTTCGTGCTGGGTACGATCATCGACATTGGAAGACTCCTGTGTGCGCTTCCATTCTTGTTCGCTAGATTACAAGGTTAGCCTAGTAGAATGACATGTTTAAATCGCACTTGTTGATGTAGTGCTTAGCGGTGGCCTGGACACCACCAGCTTGCAGACCCAGGATCGTTTCATAGGCGGCTTCTCCAGATAGGAACGGGTCAGCGCCGAATCCCTCCCAGTTGCGTCCACCTTGAGCGATGCGGCCCATATTCATCATGGGTCCCAGAGCGACATTGACACCTTTCATTCGGTGTTCTTGACCCATCGCGAAACCCCGGGCGCGCATGAGAGCACGATTCCATCTACATTACGATATATCATTCGAGGTAAGACTTTCACATTTAAGACCTACGTAGATGCGGTGGTGATACCAGCAGGGAACGAAGTGACGAAGTCAGTATCCCGAACTCCAAGTGGTGAATCCTAGAGTAGGAGATATGCCAGCAGATTTAACACTCATCAAAAATAAACATTATGATGCACTGACTTGAAGACACAGCCCAGGGAAGTCTCCAACAGCAGCAATGTTCCCGACACAGAGACCATTACCCCAGCCAACGCCTGTAGTAATGTTGGCTTTTTGCTGGATAGTGAAGTTAGATATCTGCACGCAAAATTAGATAATCAGGCATCATCAAGCGCATTTACTCCTCATACCATAGACATTGCCTTCGTGTAAGCAGCTGCCCAAGCCGGAGCAAAGTCAGGCACAACCACTGGATCTGCGCTAACAGGAGGAGGATCTAGAGGATCGGTTGCAGGAAAATTTGGTGGATCTGGCGCGAGTGTTGGAGTTGGGAACGGACTGAAAGAGTAGTGTGAGATGGGCAAAGTTAAAGGACCAGTCTCAGTAGCAAGGTATGAAGTCATCAAGGACGTTGTTGACACAGATGTTGCGACACCACTAGTTGATATGTTCGCGCTGCTGATAGAGCTTGTGGCGCCCGTCGAGCTTGAGTTACTCGCGACGGGAGTACTGCTACTGACTGCAGAAGCAGAAGTGGTTGGGATCGCGACCGAAGAACTCGACGCGACCGCATACGACACAAGTAGCAACACGAAAGAAAGTGGCCTTGGACCCATCCTGGAGGACACCGACGGGGAAGGGATTTCCGGATGAATTTGCTATCGACCTGCATCATTGTTGCTGCTGATTATAACTGACGCAAGTGGTCTTGATGGGCTAAATTAGCTCTCCGCAATGAACGAACCCAATAATAATATTCATATTGTTTCGCATAAGCTTTACCCGAGATTCTAGGAAAATAATCACCTTTCCTCATAAATTTATCAGAGATCCGCTGCAAAAGCAGCGCCTTTCAGAAATTTATCCTTCACCTTCACGGCCGACTTACGACAATCTTGAACTATGTATACCCCTTCATGGGAGAGGTTCTCCACATGACTCCAACCGCCGTCGAAACACCATGCGCTCTCTGATCCCTTGATCAATCGATCATGTCCTGCTGATTCTTTGTGTCCATTTCTCATTGAACTGCGTCATGGTCGGCTGTCTAAAAACATCATGCCGCTCTGTGGAACTGGGTCAGCTGCGCCATCGTACTATATAGGATGTCCTTCATTCACCTATCCCGATCTAACCCCGGACCTGCAGCGCATCATTCTTCCGTGGGAACCGTACATAGTTATACGGCTGGTGACGTTGCAATGGTTTAATTAGAAATTCGAGCCTCGAAGTGTGGGATGCGACACTCGGGAGATGACGCAACGAGTAGTATTTCGCACGACGCAATGGCAACCGATGACAACGTTTGGGAATGACTGAAATCTAGGGATCACATGTTTAAACGTCCGGCTTGGCGCACTTGCGGAGCATAGCTCATGTCTCTTATGTGATCGAGCGCACGAGGATGTCAGACATGATGCGAAAACAAGACGGGATTCTCGGGGTGCGTATACCTTCTTGTGCAGATCGTAGTCGCTGTCACATGGTAACTTCTTCAAAAGTGAGTACTAGTGTGCTGGCCAAATAATAAGAGACCGTGCTTACATGAGGCACACCATAGACATCTTGCCACATGCTTGAACGATCACGGGACAGGTTCCGCGGGACCGCGTTACATTCAGCTTTGGCCATGAAATTTTGAAATTGGACAAGAGTACACGGGACGGCAGGTCCCATGGTAGCTCGTGCATTCTGCATATGATTTTGGGTAAGTGATGTTATCTGTCAGTGTCTTGCCTCTGATAGTCAACTTCAGTCAAGGCAAATGATGGCGTCTACCTCAACCTGGTTCTAGCTAGCTCAGAATCATTCTCAATTCCTCGATTAGCAGTACTTCCGCGAGTACTTCTTCCACAACCACCAAGTCTATCTGTAATTGCCACTGAAATCTTCTAAAGTTCTGGCTGTATCAGGGCCACACAGGGCTCTCGATCGAACTTGCATCGTAGCTGACTGCTTTACTTAGTGCGACATCGGATTTCCAGTTTCTGTCTTTTTTTATAATTCCCAATATCAACTCTACGGCGAACCAGGTAAACTTACAATCGGTGCGCTTGTCAACGCTGGAATCCCAAAACTCGATCGATAGTTCCATGATCGAGTGTGGATACAATCGCGCCTTCGAGATCATTGCGTAGGTCAGGAATTCAAGGGTGATGGTACGAAGATCGCACTGTGATCGTTAGTCATGCTTGACGTGGATCTAAGTGGGAAAGTTTCAGCGCTGATCTATCACGCTGACGCAGTACGAATCAACCTTCGGTAGAATGACAGCGGTGCATTGATCTATCGGACCTGCCTAGACCTGCCTGTGTCTTTGTTTTTGTGGAGTAACTCATAAAGTCACAATCTAGGAACGAATCTGGGCGTGGTACAGCCAACGAAGCTTAATGAAGGTGTCAAGCTCACATTCATGTAGCAGGTTGGCTCGAAAACTTATCTCTGTCAGAACCATTACGTGCGACAACCAATTTGCAGATGACTGTCGGGAGCACGGGCCTGAAGCACTCTTATATCGTATGGTGAGGTTTGCTTGGAAATTACCGAACATTACCAATTGAGTGCGACGCGTGGTCGGAAGAAATATTATGCAGTACTACTTACCTGTTCTCACAGGGCGAAGCCATCCTTATCACCGTTGTCCGCATCAACAATCAATACTCATGTTTTCATCGACGGGTTGTTGTTATTATACCAGCTGCTGACAGCTCGAATTCAAGACATCTCTACACTCCAACATTTGAAGCGATCAGTGACTTTATAACGTCAAATGCGCGCCTATCTAGGTTCGGTGCCACAACGACAACTGAATATCTGAGAAAAGAATCGATATTTTGCAAGCGCATAAATGATAACGTTGATGAGCTATTAAAGCCCAGACGAAGAAGCACCCCGGAAGAATTATATAGTCACAGGGGTGACGCCGAGCGAGGTATATTAGCCTTGGTTGGATATTCCGGCCAAGCAAAGTCACCATGCGCATCCCCACATCCATCACGGTGCTCTGTACGCTCGTCGCGTACGCTACCGCACAGTGCATGGAATGCGCATCACTCGTCTTGTACAACGATGTGACGTACAACCTCAAGGAGCAGTGTACAGTGCGCAGCGGATACCATTGTTTGTAAGTATCCTAAGTTATAAAACAAACAATTCAGAGTAAAGAGGCTTACACGATGGCATAATATAGTTACAGAGGCAATGACGCCGCAGGGGAGTTCTGCGACTGTTATTATAATGTAGGTGCAATGCTTAATTCTGAACGTGCGCGTGTAACCTGTTGAATTGGACGCAGAAAACGGGAATAATTGAGACCAACGAGTCGACATACTTCTGTCCCACAGGGTCTTCAAATTTCAGTGCAACATGCTCTGGTTGTCCAAGTTAATTTGGTGGTGGAGTCACGGTCTAGCTAAGGACTCGATTTGTCGGACCTTTCCCATAGCTTAGTCATTCAGCTACTAGTATTAGATGTTAACGTTGAAGTACCACAAAATCAACCAGTCGGTGCACATGCTAGTGGTGACATCTTTCGGTCCAGCGGTCTGCGATCTGACTCTACATAAAGGTCATAAGCAAAGTTAGAACATTTAAAACTTGTATGTGGTCAAGGTCCAAGTTATCCGCCGTGCAGTACGCTTACTACCTAAGATGATCACTGTTAGTTGCATTCTCACTCTCCCTTTTTTTACAGTGGACTAGTGCTAGCGCGACCACTTTGATCAATGCATCTTCCATGGCGTCAGAAGCAGCAGGCATCAGAAGAGCAGACATCGCCCCTACCTTCTGAACAGCGCGGACTCGGAGCACGCTGGTCTGCTACGAAAGATGCTTTCAAGACGCATCTAACCACCGCACAAGCAAACACGAAAAGCACTCTTCAAGGGTACAACGTCAACGTCCAGAATCGTCTCAGGGCCAAAGCATACGAGCTCGGATCACGTCCCGTTGCATATCTTGTTTTATCCGGCATCTTCCTGGGCTCTGTTTCGACGCTTGGCGTGACATTCGTGTACAGGCGGTATTTTAGGCGTTTGAGGACAGCTGAATGGGTTACACCTGATGTGCTTCGGCGGAAGAGATGGGTGAGGGGTGTCGTGACGAGGTGAGTTGAGTTATAACGCTATGTAGGCTTTGGGTTTGGCTGATCTGTGGTGGGTACGCCAAGTGTAGGGGATGGAGATAATTTCAGGCTGTATCATACTCCTGGCTTTTGGTGGAAGTGGCCACTGAAATTCAGGAGAGTACCAACTTTGAGCAAAGGTCCGTTTGTATCCCTTATTTTCTCATGGGATATGCGCTTACTTGCATGAATCAATAAGAGCTCAAAGAGCAAACGATCCACGTTCGTATTGCAGGTGTTGATGCACCCGAGGTGTGTTGGTTGTAGGCGTAGGGCTCAAGAGAGTTCTGAACGAGGCCATTCTGACTGAAATGCTACTCGATTGCGTGCAGGGATCACATTTTGGTCGCCAAGCCCAGCCATACGCTGCAGAAGCTCTCACGTGGTTGAAGGATACGATCGAGGGCAGGATAGTCTACTGTCAACTCGTTCGGCGTGACCAATATTCTCGTATTGTATGCGCTGACACTGCATCTCCGTTTCACCAACTAACTGTCATTCACAAATAGGTATCTGTAGTTACTCTTCCGCCACCGTTTCTCCCAGGCTGGCTTGCCACGGGCCGGAGTCTTGCACTTGAGATGATCCGGGCAGGCACGGGCCTGACCTATGAACAAGCAGGTGCGGAGTATGGGAAGTATGGAAAGGATGAGTTCTTAAGAGTTGAGGCTCAGTCGCGGTAAGTTGTGACACCGATTCAGATTTATTTGTTCCACTTTTGTGGCAGACAACCTCACACCCATCGTGTTTTCTCCAGAGCTGCGCGCAGAGGCATGTGGAAACACGGTACAGTTGAAGAAACCCCCGCACAGTATAAACGGCGTCACGCGCAGAGTGGGACAGATGCTGAGCCCCAGGCCCAAGGTACGGCGAAGGCGGAGCAAGAAAACTCGGAGGGTGGGCTAAGAGGGATTTTGAAGAGACTTTGGCGCTGAAATAGTTAGTTAAATACAGACTGGAAAATATACAACTGGGCGCCTTCCAAAGGTCACCGGAATAGCGTATAGTCTATGGCGAGTACCTGTTTACCAAAAAAAAAAACTATCACAACTAATAGTGGAATGATTAAGTTCATTCCCAGGCAGGGGCGCGCATACGTGAACGGCAGACTGCAAGCGAATTTGGATCCCGATTAGCTGTTAATGGATCCCGGTCGCGGGTGGTCTAGTCGCGTCCGATCACAGTGGCGCTTGCGAGCACTGCCTGAGACAGCATTTATTTATATGGTAAGAGATTACTCTGCTCCGCAGCAAGTTTACCGTGCACTGGTCTTTTTTTTTTTCCGTATATAAAGCTCTCTACCTCTCAAGTTACACTGCACGACGCGAGTGATTACTAGTCTCAGTCCCTCTGACGAACTTAATAGTCTTGTTGTACTTGCATCTTCACCATGAAACTCACGTCCGCCCTTGTGCTTTCGTTCATTGCCACTGCGCAAGCAGCGACATCATTTTCTACTCCAGTCCTGCCCAGCGGAATCCCAGCGTACGTGACTTTCTCTTCGTGCCCATTTCCCCTCAAATTTCCCATTTAAAAACAAAAATAACTTATAACTCACTTATAGATCAAGCGGCCTGCCTTTGAGCACCCTTTCTCTTGACACCACAGCTTTTACTTCGTTTATTTCCTCTATTCTCTCATCCGGCACTATCCCTGCTTCCCTTCCTACCACCATTCCTACTTCCCTTCCTACCACCCTTCCTACTTCCCTCGGCACTCTTCCCACCGTAACGTCTCCCTCGTCCGGTGCATCTACATCAACTGCGACAAGTGCACCAGCTGCGACAACCTCTAGCGGTGCAGGACGAACAGAGGCGGGGCTGGGGCTGGGATTGGCTGCCGGAGCTGCTGCGGGCTTGCTTGTGTTGTTCTAATTAATGAGTACATTTTTGGTGGTGACGCATGTACGTATTCATGCGGGAAGATCACGTCCAGGGGTAAAAGTCGAAAGATCCCACGTGTGCATGCGGGGCAACTGCGGACCTATATTTATTTATCTAACGATATTGAAATAGACTTTCAAAGGACGCGCCTAGTACCTCCCTCGGGCTATTTTCCTGGCCAGCTGTGCAAGTTAGTTCTTCTGACTCTAATACTGTGTCGAAAAGGTAGACAGTTTGAGCACGGCAAGTCTGTTAGACTCTGGCCCAGTTTTATTCCTCGACCCTCGGCGTGTCAGCAACAGTTGCCGTCAACCTCCACGAAAAGAAGTTGCCATGTGGCAATTCTCTGTTATCTATAAATCTAGCACTGGCTACAGCGCTGTCTTCCATGGACTCTATTTCAGCTCTCAATCGAACCACCACAAGACACGAGCTTTCTGTATCTTCGCCGGTCGCAGAATTTGCGCAGAATCCCTACAAACCGCACTGACAGCGATATATTAGTCAGTATTATCATTTTCAGCTACTGGGTGCCAGTCTTATCAAAGAACGCCATGATGAAGTCCTGTGAGGGCGGCGGGAACAGATTATCAACAACGCACACGAGGCGCGCAGGGGTCTGCAACCACTCATGATCTAACAGCATTACGGATGCTAAGGCAAGAACACTCTCACTATTATGGTCGAGCCCGTCAGTTATTCAATCAAATTATCCTCGAAAAAGACGCTTACTGGTGACACGCTCGAGAAAACGAGAAGAATGTTCCTCCTTCCGCTGTCGCCTCGCCTCATAAGCAACTCGCTGTATCGACCCACTGGCGATATGGCAACTTCCGTGACAAAGGCACGGAATGGTTCCGAGAGAAGAGCACCGCCAAGGCTAGCGGGGACGTGTCAGACGGTTTTCCCGAAGGTATGCTTCTCGTGTGACAGACTGTCCTTCGCCAATCCTGGCCTCGAGAGTGGAGATCAGAAATGTGGACCTATTCAGATCACATCGTACGCAAACGCATCCTTCTTGTCCAGTAAAGCCGGATGCATGTTCTCGTCTTCGTCGTTGCCAAAAGAGGTTTTGCGTATCCACCATGACGCTGTCGATCAGACCATTACGGATCTGGCGGCATTTCATTCAATGGGGGAACCTTCCACATACGAAGGGAGCCTTGGGTGGTTATGTGGCCCATGAGATTGGGATGGACGAGTGCGCAACTGATAACATATTTGTTGAAGCGTTGAATAATATATGTAGATCACATACATTAGCCTCTCGCAGTTCATCATCAAAAAATTCGGGGGTATCTGACGAGCACCTTTGATCTTTGGAGCAGGTTGCGGTATAGTATCAACCTGGGAAGCAGATTCATTGTCAGTATCATTTAACAACGATATGTATCTGGACTTACAATATCTGATGGAAGGTCGGCTTCTTTGACGATGGCAGAAACATCCCATGTGTAGATGTGGCCGTCAGCGCAGCTAGTGACGAGACACTTTCCATCTGCAGAAAAGGTCGCAGAGCTTGTGTTGTGTTCAGAGTGTTCCACTGCGTTGATTGGTTTCGGGGCTCCATAGTTGGCACTAGGTCTTGTCGAAGCATGATGTGCTTGTGAGGAGGACTCGGAGATAGTAAATGGTAGTGATAAAGTTTTGTCGGGATTGTCGCTCAATTCAAGAACAGCCGTCCGCGAGCTCGAGGCTGTATCGAATTTCCTAAATAATGTTCCCCCAGCGAAAGTGTTTTGCTATCCGAGGTCCATGCCAGGATAAGCAACCCTCGAATGTTTTGAGCAGTTTGCGTGTTGAACTTCAGAGCAAGGTGCGCCTGTGACAAGTCACATACATGTCACTCGAACTCTGTAATGACGTGCCTGGCACTGCCTGCCTCCGTACGCGGGCCCTAGCAAACTGCGTTAGTTGGTTTATTGCCCCGTGTTGATTGAATGATACTTTCTGCGCTTTGGACATCCCACGCTATGAATATTCCTTGCCAGGTTCTGCTCACCACTCGTCTTCCGTATGGATTCCAGCACACCATTCCTTCCCGACCTTTGTGCTCGTCTCCAAGTCCCAGACTCGAAGTGACCCATTCCATTCACAGATGATACTCTGCTTTCCATTGGGCAGGTGTAAGATGTAGGTGATGCCATCATTTACCAGTAGGGCAGTGTCGCTAAATTCTTGTGGTTTGCAGGCGCTGGATACCCCATGATAATTCACTCAATGGGTGCATGGTAATTTCAGCTGTCACCATCAATCACATGACCACTTACTCGAATTCTAGATGTACTCGGTGGAGCGAAAGCTGCGACGGAGTAGGTGTGCCCACTTCCTTCATCTGCACTGACCCCTTGGCATCGCGGTCCTACAAACCCGCAAACCCGCATAGGCCAATATCTTCCCTCGCACCGCACTCCACTTGAAAGTTCAACTTGACGCATCCCGCTTTTGTTCTCAACGTCCAACCCGACCTTTTCACCTTCGTCGCCATACTAGCTAATTCGCAGTCTGGCTATCTTGCTCACTTCTTACTAGTTTGTGTCCAATCATTCATTTCCCTTCTCGGTGCTCCCAACTTTAATGACTAGGTTGACAAGCGTGAATTGCCTGTGCCAATGAGCTCGCCGGCGGCGGGAGGGATGCTCAAAAGCTTGCTTATGCACAGGCAATCTTCCAAGGCACCAGGCGTGGTGCCATCTCAAGCGTCGATGGACAATGTCATTGTCTTCATGGCTTCATTTTCATTTGGGCAGTCACGAGGCAATCTATGGTGACACTAGCCAAGACGCAAGGAACGAAATTATCTTCTCGATCTAGTTGACGCGCATAGATCGTTTGAAAGACATGTACAACCTCGACATCTGTTGTTTGAAAGGCAATCTTAATAGGAGCTACAAGTTTTTATATCACCAATCAGAGAATGCATCGTGCTCCACTATAGGCGTGCCACCCACTGCTTCAGCCACCTACACCCAATTTTCTTCCCCGATAAAATAAAGGAGGGAGTTACGATGGCAATAAACACGAGTGGAATTAAATCTAGACCAAAAGGCTACGCAATAGAGGAAGTCTTGCTTATCTCGATCCTATGTACTTCTCTTTATCCTATGCATAGTGACAATCCCCATTCAAATATAATTGAGATATCTATCTGAATCATACACCATCTCCCGAGTGCTCAGTTCATTCTCGACCCCTCTTCGTCCCCAGTACGCATGCACGAGGTCTGAATGATGACGTGCTCGGGGGTGAGGCTGCAGAAACATTGGTGGATGCATAGAATTGAGTGCTTGGCGGAAACGTGGTGTTTAACGCATGAGGATATGTCAGGTTCGAAGGTAGCAATATGATCATGCCGCTGGCTCCCACGCTTGGCGGCGTCCAATGTTTATACCACCCAGCGAGAGGCTGGGACCCAACGCTAGAGGGCATCCGAGCATCACGTTTGACCTTGGGATGTTGTAGCCCGATATTGGAGGGAGTGTAAGCATAATGCCGCCCCTCAGGAGGCTGGAACCCGGCACTAGAGGACATCCGGGCATCATGCTGGACCCTTGGATGCTGTAACCCGACATTAGAGGGAGCCCAAGTATAATGCTGCCCTGCAGGAGGCTGCAATCCGACATTAGGTAGCTCTATGTGGCCCTGCGGCGAACTTGCAGGTGTCGACGTTCCGCTGATGGTGTGGTTTGTCGAGTCCGAGTCCCCAAAAAGGGAAGACTTTTCGCCGATGGTGTGGTCTGTCTCGTCGTCACCAAAAAGGGAAGACTGCTTGCTGATGGAGTGATTAGAGTGAACTCTCTCATCATCCTCACGCGATTGAGCCCGTTCGGTTTGGTTGCCTTGTGGGTACTGAGGGCGGACTGGACGTGATAGCAGACACGGTTGAAGTTCAGGGGGGAGCGAGTGTGAGATATTCTCGGGCCACAAAGGGTTCAACTTGTAATGGTTGTCCTCCAAGTTGTTCCACTCCACGTCCATCGAAGACGGTTCAAGTTCGTCATCTGACTCTGTGCTGTAAGTGCTTGTGGCGTCCCAGTTCGGGATTGCGTGCAAACGGCCGATGATGGGTGAACCAGCGAGCCCTTGAGACGGTTGGTCATCAAACTTCGGGCTAGACTCCGGCGGTGGTGGTGGCGGTGGCGGTGATGGTGGCGGTAGAGGTGAAGGTGGTGGTGGTGTTAAAGGCGAAGGTGGTGGTGGTGATAGAGGTGAAGGTAAAGCTGGTGATAGAGGTGAAAGTGGTGGTGGCGGCTGTGAAAGTGGTGGTGGTTGTGAAGGTGGTGGTGGTGGCTGTGAGGGTGGTAGTGGTAGTGGTGAAGGTGAAGGCGGAGGTGGCGGATGTGGAGATGAAGATGGTAGATATTTGAAGGATTTAACTCGTTGTGTCAGCGAGTGGGTATACGACGGTTCTGGTAGGCCACCATGACCGTGACTCGAGCCTGGCTCGGAAACCTTAGTAGGGACATATTGCAGAAACCCGCCGTCTAAAATTTTGTAGGTTTGTCTTGCTCTCTTGATTTCGCGGGTCGCAGAGCCCCCGGAAACCAAACCCTTCGAAGCTGGGTCGAAGATCCTGAAACTGAGATCTGAGAATTTCGGTTTCTTGTCTAACAGGCATAGTTAGCGTGATCAGCTGAAGTTCAAGTTGAAATGAGGAAAGAAACAGAACATACCTGCAGGCATGTCACAATACCTGAATTATTGTCAGTGGGACTATGGTGAATCGCTGCCGGAGCGTGCAGACAAGGTGGTGGTTCTCCAACTGAAATCGTTCCAACATTCTCGGCATAGAGCAATATATAATATTGTACTGACCTCACGGAGCAGAGCATGATCTTTGACATAATCAATCCCCATAAAGGGAAATTCCTTCTTATGTCTTAGTTTTAGAATACATACCTATTGGTCCCGACAATGCTGTTCGTTCGGTGCACGTGTTCTTCTCACGGCTCTCTAGCTTATGTACTCGCTCTCACTTTTGCCCCCATCTGACCATGTATATCCCGATACATGATACATCCTTGGTACATGTGCCAATCCTCGTGCCTCGGCAGGAGGCTCATCGTCAGAATGATCAGTGGTCCTTCCGGCATGTTTTATTCAATCGATCACATCGCGCTGTGCAGGTGAGTCATGACCGTGCGTCTAGAAACCCACCCAAACTTATCCTATCATATCATACTGATGAGAATACGTTTCACACCTCCAGAGCCGCCGCCGTGCTGAGGCAAGTATTAAGCCCATTGCTACCTTGGGAGAGGAACTTCGGGACACGACCCATCCAATGACTCACCATTCCAGATGAGTATTTGACATGCACACGAAAAGACTAATGCGGAATGAAAGCTGCGACGGAGTGGGTGTTTCGTTCGATGAATATTCAAGTCAAGAGGGAGGTTGTTGTACAAATCTTTTACACGTGCGTCTTGCTTGCATAATGCTCTTGTGCAGTCACCGCAAGCCTGCATTCCCGTGTTTCCCTAGGCTAATCTGATTATGCAGTTAACTTGACGCATCATGCTCTACGGTCCTTATTCTCAACGTCCAACATGGATTTTTTTACCCTCATAACCATACTAGCTAATTCTCAGTCTGGCCATCTCGAATACGCTGTCAAAGAAGCTGCCGCCTCAGCATTCTCGACAGCTGGTGCTCAAAAGAAGACCTGAAGTTCAAACGATGAGACGAATCATCTCACCTTCAAATCCTTAAGTACAGCATCTGCACTCGTGCCTTTGATACTCGAGTTGCATCGCTAGTACAGACGTTCTTCGCCTTTCAGCAGAATTCCCGAAAGTAGCAGGGCAAGGCTGCCAACGACACCGACGAGCACGACAACCTACACCTAAGCAACTACTTTACCAATACACAGCGGTTGGACACAGTTCTCAGCGATCGGATCATCGAGACAAGCGCGAACACTTCCTTTGGGACGCCCCTCGATACAAACAAGGACATTACTGAACTGCTCGCGTCATCCTGGGGAATCTACTTCGCAATCGCCCTCTTGTACAACGTAACTCCATCACACATTCCTAGCCTTTGCCTTCCTAATTATCTTATTGTCCTAGTTCTATGTTTCCATATTCGGACGAAGGTGTCTAAGTCCTGAACAGGTATAGATTTGGTCTTCAAGGAGAGCCTCCTTCACTGGGAATGCATCATCTTTGAGACTCTGTCTGCTGGTGCGACATCTCGTACGTTTTCTTTGTATCTTTGCATACATCTCCGACGATCAATCGGGAACACAATGTTCCCATCTTTATCATGGAGATTCGCTGATTTAAGCAGTTGGGTTCATGCACTAGTTCTGCACATACACCTCGACTTCGTTTTGTAGGGAACAAATTCAATTCTGCGTTCCACCTCCTTGCCACCCTAGTCTCAACGTCAACAAATCTGTGCACAATACACGGTTTTCTGGCCCAAGCACAGTCGAACGATCCGACGTGGGTGGACAGGTACCCGCAGCGGCGCAAAGTGTCGAAGTAGTGGCAGTGGGTGGTTGCTGTGATGATGATGGTGTACTCTGGGTTACTGTGTGAATGAGTATTGGGAGGCCGATATGAGCTGGTAGCTGGCTTCTTCTTTCTTGCGTGATAATTTCTCTGCGCAAAAACCAGTCAACGATAAAAAAAGAACTGGGGAAGAGGAAAAAAATGCACAGGCTTTCCCCCCGTGTATGGGACCTTAAGCTTAAGTACAGGTGGCTCGCGCATTTCGATGTCTGATCTATCTCGGCTGCGCATCATGCCAGACGACCTGGTTTTGTTACAGGTCCCGGTCAACGTTAAAGTGGCTGGCGTCAGATTCTCGTGCTTTGTAGGGGCTGGATGCCCATGACTTTGGTTTCGGGATTCACTTGATGAGTGATTCCAGTTATTTTCATCAATGGCTTGTAACTTACTCAGAATCCAGATGAGTACTTGACTTGTACACAGAAAGACTAATACGGAATGAAGGCTGTGACGGAGTGGGTGTTTTATTCGATGGGTATTCAACTTAAGAGGGAGGTGGTTGTTTAAGTCTTCTACACGTGCGTCTTCCTTGCATGATCTTCTTGTTCAGTCACCGTCAACTTCACAGCTTCAGCATTGGCTGTGCAAATTAAGAGCCCAACGCTCTTTTTGGACGATATCCCCACTTACCTCATCCGCATTGACCCTCGGTATCAAGGTCCTACGTACAATTCCTCAGGCCTCAGGTCTGCATTCCTGTGTTTCTGTAGGCTAATCTGATTCTACAGTTTTTTGTACCTATTTCATCACGCCACATTTTCCCTTGAGAGTCCAACTCAACCTATCATGCTGGCCCTTGTTCTCAACGTCCATGAAATTTTTCACCTTCATCGGCATACTACCTAATTCGCAGTCTGGCCATCCTGGTCATACTCTAGTCTTCGCCCAATCAGTCATTTCCCTTCTCTTTCAGAACTATGTCTACGCAATGGAAGCAACACATCTGCACTGCCGCATAATTTCCAAGTACAGCATCCGCACTCGTGTCTTTGATACTCGAGCTGCATCGCTAGTACAGACGCTCTTTGTCTTTCAGCAGAATTCCCGAAAGTAGGAGGGCAGGGCTGCCAGCGACACCGACAAGCACGATAACCCACACCTCGGTATCCACCTTACCGATGCCCAGCGATTGGACATAGTCCTCAGCGATCGAATTCGCTGAGACGAGCACGAACACATAGGGACGCCCCTCGATACAAACAAGGCCATTACTGAACTGCTCGTGTCCTCCAATTCGGGGCAATCTACTTTGGAATCATTTTTTTGTACAACGTAACTCCATCACACCTTCCTAACTTTTACCCTCCCAATCATCTTATTGTCCTAGTTCTGTGTTTCCATGTTCGGACGAAGGTGTCTTTGAGATCTGAACAGGTATACCTATGGTCTTTATGGAGAGTCTCTCCTTCACCGGGAACGCACCATCTTTAAGAATGTTTCAGCTGGTGCGACATCTCGTACGTTTTCCTGTCTTTGCATATATTCCTCGATCCAGATCAGTATTGACGTCTCAAGGTGATCCGACGATCAAACAGGAACACTCCTTTCCGATCTTGTGCTGGCATAGGTGCGAACCCACGCTCAGCGTAGCATTTTTTCGAGAAAGCCACGAGCATGAACAAGTACTGAATACTGAGGCCTAGGGAGGATTGAGTGCCGAGTCTCTGGGGATGTATATACTCCAATTTAAAGTATTGTACATATGTCCCATCCCATGAAGCGTACTGGAGCGTCCACGCAGGATCATAAAACACTGACTCGTTTAAAACACAAAACAGTAGTGGATTAAGCAAGAAATACGATACAGTACAATGTCGGAGTGCAGACAGCGACAGAAACGAGAGAAAGGATCCATTCAACAGACACACCGCGATCCAGTGCATCCAAGGAGTCCAACATCTGGCCTGTATTTGCAGTGATAGTGTGTCGCGACGTCGTTCCACTAGCCAGTGCAGTAGTTGTGACTGCGTATCTATGGTTCACCATTTATGTGGATAGGCACGCAGCAAAACCAGCCCACAAGACGGGCACACCATCCAGTAACGGTGACATGAGGACGCAAGGGTGCTTCCATTGCCCCCGGGGTACTAGTGTCAGCGGAAAACGTTGAAACAGTAGCAGCGGGAGGTGGTTGCTGTGATAATGGTGAGGTGCTCTGGGTTGCTGCGTTGGGTTGTTGAGTGGGATAAGTATTGGGAGGTCGATACGAGCTAGTACTTACTTGATTTCTTCCTTCTTGCATGATAACTTCTCTGCGTGAAAACGAGTCAGATATCGAGAACCGTAGAAGCGCAAAAACGCACAGGCTTTCCCGCTGTATATGGGACCTCGACTACATGTGGCGCACGCATCTCGATATCTGATTTATCTTGCCTGCACATCATGCAGGAGACGATGTTTCGAGTCCAGCTGAGAGGTTGGGATATGGATTGGGTTGCCACGCTCAGTTTGCCCCATGTAGCTTGAAACGACGCCAGAAAAAGGACATGCGAATGAGGGCGCGTTAATGTGGTGTCGGAGCAGGGTGGTTATGTGGCGCATGTGATTGGGATAGACGAATACGCAACTCTAATATATGTGTTAGATCACTGAATAATAGATAGAGATCACATACATTAGCTTCTCGTAGTGCATCGTCAAAGAACTCTGGAGGTATTCGAGGAGCACCTTTCATGTTTGAAGCTGGTTATGGACCTCGTTGTAGCATTGGCCTAAGGGAGTAGATCTGTTGTCAGCGTCATCGAGAATGAAATGTATCTGAGCTTACAATATCTGACGGAAGCCTAGCTTCTTTGACACTAGCAGAAACATCCCATGTGTAAATGTGGCCAGCTGGGCAGCTAGTGACAAGGAACTTTCCATCTGCAGAAAAGGTCACAGAGTTCACGCTGCCTTCATGGTGAAGTAGTGTTCCGATACGTTAATTGGTTTCAAGGTTCCATAGTTCTACTATCTTGCCCCATGTCGATGTACTTGCGAGGATGCGCTTATTGGGAGATGCTGAAATGGTATCAATGAGGTTTTTGTTGAGATTTTTGTCCAACTTGAAGTCAAGAACAGTCCGCGTGGCTATGTGGTTTTCTACGCTAGCCGAGGCACGAGGCTAGCGTAGAATTTAGTCTACGCGCAAATTTAGCGAGGTGGCGCAGAAAGCTTCTTGCTTCTCACCACCTCGCAGTCGTCTATCAGTCTCAGTCCAACGTCTAGTTTCTAAGTCTTTTTGCTTCTTTTCCAAAGCTCTACATAGCCAGTATGGACCCTAACAATGCAATTAGACCAGACTACGCGCTACCAGAGTTCCAAGGAGAATGACAACAACTAATAGACGAAGGTTTAACCGAGCAGCAGGCCACTCGATCCTTGACAGCGTTATGGAATTTTAACAATAACGCTGAGAAGGTACGCTGGACAGCTAGGCAGGTACACTTAGAAGAGGCTCGTCAATGAGCCGAAGAAGACGAAGCCCAGAGGCTGCAAGACCTCAAAGACGAAGAAGAAGCAACTCGTTTAGAAGACAGGAAGAAAAATAAGAACAAGTATGCGCCTATCAAACGCGGAAAGGTACCTTCCGACCCTACTATACTCCCGGCGCAATACACGACCAGGAGACTAAAAGCAGGAGATTACTGCGAGTTGCACTACTTCACCAACAAAGGCCTCAATGAGGCCAAGGTCACAACCTTGATTGCGGAGCCCGATGCATTAGTAATGCTCCCAGCAGCGGATGGAGTACACTCTTGGGTGCCCGCCGCAGCGGTCAAAGATCCCAAGGCAGCCCCCGTTACTAAAGATGAAAACCTCACATGGGAAGAGTTCAATGAAGCGGCCCCGCGCATCATCTCTTTCATGAAGGTACACGACTGGCCCGATGACAGAGTCAGCATGCACATCCAATTCTGGACGGCTCTTCAAGCTCACCGCTGGCGCCACGCACCCGACGTACTTAAACAGAAAGCTCTGTTACTGTACCAGTCGCAACAATGATGTCGCTGGCACCTTACAGTAGGAACGGCGCAAGGTTGGAGTTTGGAAGAGATCAACCAGGATCTGTTGTTCGAAGCGAGAGAAGAATTATTCAATGAGAAGAGAGACAAGGAAACAGCATTCGCAGTACAGCAGGCAGCAGCAGCTTATTCAGCCAAGGGAGCAGAACCCCCACGCCAGCAACAACCAGCATCAGCGCAGCAAGGACACGCGTCCCAGAAGCGCTCGCAGCCTCCCTATGAAGAACCAATGGGCAGTTACAAAAAGGTGCGCACAGATCATGCTCCTCTTACCTCTGGGCCCCTCCCATGCTGCGCAGTATGCTTGGGACGCAACCCGCACAAGACCATTGAGTGCATGGCCACTCACACGTGGGACAAGCAACACGAGACGTTCACAGAACGTATCCGCAAAGGCCTGTGGACAAAGGACGGAAAGCAACTCTGCACCGCTTGGCAGCGCGAAGAAGGCTGCACGGTGCCTAGACACGATGCTCGACACATCTGCTCGGGATGTGGAGCCTCTTCCCATGGCGCCCAGAGATGTGCTCGAGCACAGAAGGCAGAACCCACTAACGCCGTATAAATTAGAGGCTTGGACGCGCGAGCTTGAGGATCTCAGACTCTACGAACGTTTTGTTAAGATACCTGAAGGTCTGCGTACCAGTTTCAAAATAGATTTCCCCCCTGTCACTTGTGTACAAACCCCTCCTAATAAAGCCTCAATTGTTGAATTCGAAGCCGAATTTCATTCCATCATCCAAAAAGAGATAGACAAAGGGAGATACGTCGGCCCCTTCGAAGCAAACATGTTAGAACGTCTAATCGGGCCTTTCCAATCATCCCCTCTAGCTATCATTCCGAAGCCCGGAAAACCAGGCAAATTCCGGATCATTCAGAACTTCTCTTTCCCGCATTCTCCGAGTACGCGCTTCCCTAATCCGTCGATCAATTCGTGCATAGACGCAGGACAACTTCCCAACAACTTGGGGAAAGTTTTCCATAATATACCATTTAATATCTACTCTCCCTCCAGGTTCCGAAGCCGCAACCCGAGACATAGCGGAGGCTTATCGAACAGTCCCGCTTCATCCTTCGCAATGGCCAGCGGGCGTAATCTGGATCTCGGACACTCAGTTTTGTGTAGATACCTGCACGGCTTTCGGCGCTACTCCATCAGCAGGAATTTACGGACATGTAGCTGATGCTGGAACCGAAATATTTCGACATCGTGGAATCGGACCACTGGATAAATGGGTTGATGACCACATATTTTTCAGAATAAGGCGTGAGTACCTTGAAAGCTACAATGACAGCAGGGCATCATGGTACAAAGAATTCGCTGAAGCCGGCTTAAGGCAGTCAGGCAGTAGGCTATGGTTCGGCGGATTCTGCCCGATCAAAGGTCGGATGGAGGAGTCTAGCGAAGACTGCTCAACACCATTAGTAGATTTATCGCAACGCTCACTCCATTCGACTCACAATGCCTTATTCACCTTCTGTTTTCAAGACTTAGACGATTTATCCGACTTCCTAGGTATCATTTGGGAGCGCCTGAAAGACCAATTCTTCAGTACCTCGACCATTTATATAGGTTTCACGTGGGATTTGAAGCGGATGGTAGTAGCCTTAAGTCCTGCAAAGGTGGACAAGTACCTCGTGGCCATCCACAAATGGAGGAAGAGGCACGCACATGTGCTACAAGACGTACAAGAATTGTACGGTAAACTACTGCACGCTTGTTCGGCGGCACCTCGGGGACGAGCTTACCTCACGAGCCTCGAGGACATGCTATCGACCAATGGAGCTAAGCCATTTCTGCCCCACAGAGCGGGAAAAACCGTAAGCGAAGACTTAGACTGGTGGTCGGATCTTCTTCAATCAGGAGGAGTAGCACGGGACATCTATCCAATTAACAGACTCCAAAATCCTCTCGCTTTCTCGGATGCAAGCTCAGGCATCGGAATAGGTATCGTTATAGGAGAACACTGGAGAGCTTGGAGGTTAATACCGGGTTGGAAGACTCTCAATGGAGAAAGAGAAATTGGTTGGGCCGAAGCCATTGGATTCGAGCTGCTTATTTATGCCCTCACCTCTCTCCCACACACTAGCAACAATGTTCTCGTCCACGGGGACAACACCGGTGTCATGGAAGGTTGGTGGAAGCACAGACACTGCAACAAAGCGGTCAACGGAGTTTTTCGGAGGATCCACAACTTCCTTCACCATCTACCCAACCGTCTCGACATTACAACAGCCTACATCCCAAGTGAGTTCAATCCCGCAGACGGCCCATCCAGGGGCATACTCGGACCCACCCACCTTCTTCTCCCTCCCATCAACTTTCCCGTCGAACTTAACCAGTTCATCATCGACGCAACTCTACCACTCTCCCCCATCGAGCAACGAATGTTGCGAGACGGGAAGTACTCCATTCCCGCAGCTAAGCTCATCAATCGTGCCCTCCTCAGACAACAGGCAGCAGAGCGAAACAAGATCTATCGGGCCGAAGAAGAAGACCTCATCAGCTGTGTGATCAGAGACGAGTGACTACATGAATCGCAACCGTTTTGGAGTGCCCTTACCAGAGTCACCCGCAGCATCCATAACCAACCCCCAGAACTACAAACCAAATCTCACCCCTCGTCCATCCAACCTCCGACCTCATTGCCTGGCACGCGAACGTTTAAGACTCTGGGTCCCTGCGGGAAGCAGCACCAGGCAGTTAGCGTCCTCAGCAGGAGACCCCAACACTCACGAAGTATCAGACGAGCAATTGAACTGAATCCTGGAAGTAATGGGCTCCGCTTGGGCCCAATCTACGAAGGAGACCTATGGAGCAGGATTATTAGTATTCCACGTCTACTGCGACCTCAACAACATAGAAGAAACCAAACATTGTCCAGTCAGTTCCAGTCTCCTCCTCGAATTCTTATCCAGTTGTGCAGGTGCATACTCCGGTTCAGCGTTGGCAAACTACGCAGCCAGAATCAAGGCGTGGCACTTGCTTCATGGCAGACTTTGGCTGGTAAGACCAGGCGAACTCAAAGCAACGCTGGACGGTGCTACCATGCTCGCTCCCTCATCCTCCAAACGACCCAAGAGGCAACCCATCACCCCAGACTTCCTTTCCTCTATCCACGAGCACCTAAACTTAAACGAACCGCTTGACGCAGCGGTTTTCGCTTGTATGACCACAACTTTCTACTGTATAGCAAGATTAGGAGAGTTCACCGTCAGAACGGTCAAAGGTTTTGATCCTGAAAAAACATATATCAAGGGCCGGAATGATAGAAACGACTAACCGCGATGGTCTACCAATCACCAAATTCTCCCTTCCTAGCACAAAATCGTCCCCAGTAGTGGGCGAGGAAGCATATTGGGCAGCTCAAAACGGTCCAACAGACCCCAAAGCGGCCATGGAGAACCACATTAGAATCAACACGGCCAAGTCCGGGGCACATTTATTTGCATGGAAACACGAGAAGGGCCTGCGTCTTTTCTCGAAAACAGAATTCACGAAGAGAATGACCCTAGCCGCGTCGGCAGCAGGTCTTTCTGACCTCAAAGGTCATGGCTTACGTATTGGAGGAACCCTGGAGTACCTCCTGCATGGAGTGCCATTCGATGTCGTTAAAACGATGGGAAGGTGGTCAAGCGAGGCTTTTACCTTGTACCTCCGAGATCACGTGAAGGTCATAGCACCTTATATACAATCCTCGCCCGTGTTGGAACCTTTCACGCGTTACACCATGCCACCAGTATGCTAAAGCCACATCTAGATGTGAGTACCAACTCCTTTTCTCTCCCGGGGCATCAAGCTTCGCTGCATGCGTCGTAGTCCTCCTAATTTTTGGGAACACAGCTCACCATTGATACCTAGTTTTGGTCCCTGTTTCAGTCCAGAAAAGCCCTGCGGGCTTTTGCCCAAACAGTCAATAACCATCGCCTCGTTCTTGCTTATATCGATTCTCGTACCATTCCAATGTCACTACCTGCTTATCCTAGTCTTTAGCGAAACAATAACTATCCCACCCAGTTCTGTCCTCACACATTACATTCAGTTCCTGAACACGTCGCATTGCAGCGCATAGATCGAATTTCATAGGCCAGATGAAATTGACACGGTCCTGCCACAGTCGTGACGCGGCAGAGAGGGAGGAAGACATTTGGCTAATCTTGTACATCTTTGTATCTTGAGAACACTTCAAGCTTTCAAGCCTCAAGTTCAGTCAGTGTGCTTGTACATCTTTGTATCTTGAGAACACTTCAAGCTTTCAAGCCTCAAGTTCAGTCAGTGTGCTTGTACATATGTAAGTACAATGATAGAGTATAGGCATAGGATGAGGATGGGAGATGTCAAAATGATGCACGAAATCTGCCATTCGTCTTCCTTAATACCGACCCTTCGTGTACTGAATAGACATACCAATCCATGGTAAGAACCGAATCCACTATCTGGCCTGCTTTATGGTGATATCAGTGTGCAATGATGTCCCAGCCGCCAATGCGGTAGTGGCAGGTGGTTGCTGCGATCATGATCATGGAATGCTCTGCATTGTTTTGCTGGGTTGGCGCGTGGCATAAGCATTAGAATCTGACTGTGAGGGTCTCTAGAATCTTTCTCGCATGATAGTTCCTCTGCGTGAAAATGAAACATCGATAGTACAGTGATCACGTGCACCGTGACAAGTTATTCTAGCTCCTGGAGTCAGACCTGAAAATCTGCCTTCATATTCATTAAACATCCAACATATGTTTTACACTCGGTGATCATGGAACAGGAGAATATCAACATTCATTTGCGTCCTGCGAACTTTTGATTCTCTATGCTATAGAAACAGGTACAGCTCAAGAGACGGCTGATCGCACTGCGAGGGAATGTCGAAGAGTCCATTTTCACTGTCGTGTGCAGAGCATGGATGCGTATCCACCAGTAGGCGGCTTCCCAATCGTTGTAACATAATATTCAGGTCCTGTGCAGAAAACATTGATTTTGGAACACTTGGTCATCTTCGTGGTTTTGACCACTGGCTGGGGAGCTGAACCCAGAGCCACAAGTTCGTTATGCAACATGTTGCTGAGGTCTGATCTCCTAAATGACCTATTCGAGGATATATATTTCTGCGTGTTTGGGCTTGGAGACACGACTTATGAAAAATTATGTTGGCCGGCGAAGAAGCTATCGAGGAGGATGCAGAGTTTAGAGGATATGAAATTTTCTACTAGGAGAAGGAGACGAACAGCATCGCATGGGGTGGGTATCCTTTGTTTACTGCGTTTCACGTGGGTGATTAAAATGCAAGGTAGACGGTGTGTTGGACCCATGGATCGAATGTCTCCTAGAAGTTCTCATACAGCTCTACCCACTACCGCACGAGCAGGATAATATTTCTGCTGGTTGAACACCACCTCGCGTATCCTTGAGCAACGTGGGATCTGATACGTCGCTGAATCCAGATTCTCTAGATGAGAACACGAAGTTTCATACAGCTTCGGTGAAGTGCAACAGACAGATCACTACGGAAGTTTGGTTCTAGGATGTACACCATTTTGAGTTCTCTTTCGAAGACGATATAAAGTACGAGTCTTTGTCTTTTGAATTCACAGCTACTGGGTGACTATCCGTAGGCTGAAATAATGCGGAATAAAATAAGATAGAATAAAAAAGACCATATAAGGAAGTCATGCCGCGATGCCGCTGTTCATTTGCGTCGGATGTTCAAAACATATTATTTTGAGGCTCTTACAAACTCTAAATCTAGAAGGGGGGGGCCCCCCCCCCCCTTACAGATTAATCCAGATTATAAACGACGGATTAAATCCATTTTGGGCCACTACGCCTAAGCTATCTGCTGACTAATCCAAAACTTGAGGTCCGCCTGACACATGTTCAGCATGGCGAAGGTCGCCACCTAGTCCAAACATTTTCCAATATACGCAGTCCCATCCCTGAGGTCCCTGGCGAAGTTTTCAGCTGAAGTTTTAAGATTGCTCTCAGCAGACGACGCCGACACGTACCACTGCGACCAGCCAGGGTACGAGGTGAGCAGTGCCGGCACCATTCTCTCCCTATAAGTCTAGACTTGCGAAAACAACTCGTTCCCCAAGCTACTGCGACTGTTTTTTAACATTAAAGACTTATTTTACTGTGTGTACTAACGTATTCCTGCAACCACCACAGGGTCGTTCTACTAACTATGAACATCTAGAGTCATCGGGTGACTCGTGGTAATGAACGCACGATCACTGTGACTTGCATACAGCACTTGCCATGGGGTATTTCAATGTGGGTCAGGAAGTAAGTGGGCACGACAAAGGTACAGTCGCTTAGGGTTCTGGGTTTTGACACGATCAAGTCGAGCTAACTCTATTCCAGCGACGAGGGTAGCTGCTAGCATCCTCGCATCTTCTTCGTCATCGAGAAAACCCGTCTCTTCTCCGTCGTTCACCAGATTGTGGTACTGTAGTAGCAGGTCGTCCATTGCAGTTTTGACCGAATTATTTTAATCCAGATGCGTTACGGTTGTGTTTTCTGTACATATTAATTTTTGCTAATATCTTTCAAAGTCCGTTATAATCTATTCCGCATTATTTTGCCTACGGATAGTCACCCACTGATGGGAAATCTCAGATATAATCCTGGAGATGTTGCTGTGGCATCGCACCTATGCTGCCGTCATTGAACAACGCATACACGAGGCACACACTAGTATGTTTGGCTGCATCTGGAAAGACGTATAAGATTTTTTAGGGGGGTAACAATGAGGCATTTCAGAGTAGATGGCCTGGAGCGGCGCTTAATTAATCCTCAGTTCCAAGGATAGTTCTCCGAACAAAATCCTCGGTGCGGTTCGTGAAACTGAATTGGTTTGGATGAAGGTGAGGCTGTGGGGTATATTACTGCGATGGACGGATGGAAGGTGATCCAAACGGAAGGGAGTTCCTTATCAAACCCTTCAGGCCTGCATGATAGTTCAAACGTTCATGGCGCACGCCTACATATGCACAGCTTCAGGCCTCAAGGTCACCTCGTGGCCAGCCTGATCGAGTGGCCTACGGCAGAAATTACAACATGGCCGCCCCATATCAAAAAAATTACGTAGGCTGGGTGGTTACGAGTCTAGCCTCGAGGCCTCAACGCTCATATCGATGGCACTCTTCAGATCTCATGTGAAACTTCTGTGATGCATTGTACTACACAAGGCTTCTCGGATCCAACCCTAGTGGCTCGGAGGCGCGAGGATCAGCGCCTACTAGGGGTCCCTTATTAGAGTGGCCAAATTTCACTGTCAGTGGCGAATCTCTTTCTCTCATCCCATTGGTAATATGGCTCATTATACAACAGTAAATCGTCTTTCCAAGTCAGAAGATCAATCTAGTCTTGAATATATCATCAATCACGTATTTCTCCCCCTCAAGTTGCCACAAGGGAGTGACCAGTCCCTTGAGAACGACCTGGTCTTATCTGAAGCAGTATTCGATGCTGCTATCACGTTCAGCGACCAGCTACCGTCCGATAAGCTGCGGCTTTGGACGAACATCTTGAAAATGCTCAACAATCTTAAAGATTCAATCAGATCCAGCGTCATGTCTGCAGAGGAGGTCGAACATCAAATCAACACTATGGAAACTGAAAGTCTGTTGTTTTCATTTGCATTCTTTTTCTGTACTGAGTATCAATTTTCAGATGTACTTATATATATGATTCGCGCGCAAAACGCTGCGGTTGTCATGAGAAAACTCGAATCCGAAACTATATTCGAGTCATTTGAGGTCTCTCCTGACCCCACCGCAGTGATGGGCGCAAAGGGAAAGCTGATATGTTTTTATCCTGGACCTGCCATCACAGTCCCAGACATGAACATTGACAACGCTACCTTTCCCGCCGAGCTGGCAAATTTTCTCGTTCACATGGATCAAGATGTACTCGATGCAGCAGCGACGAGGACAAAGGCTAACTGTACTGTTCTCGAAGAGAGAGACACCACGCATCCACGATATATCACAGAGCTCCTGACCGGTATACTGCGTGGCCTCGGGAGCATCGCTGATGTTCCTCGCATCCGCAAGCGCATCGGAGATGATGTGCTGTGGGACAGCGCGAAATTGCCGTGGAGGCGGTCTCCACTTTGGCTTGTAATTCGTGTTGCCTTACAGACGACTCTGGAGCGCAGTGCTCTCGGACGAACGACGTATAAATCGTTCATGCTGTTCTTCATGGCAAGGCTCGTGACCCTTACCCTCGACCATGACTTATCGAACGACATTCTACACTTCATGTCGACAAAGATTGCGCGCCGCCTTTTCAAGCTGGGACCCTCTTCATCTCTGGAGTTATCGCAGATGGTCAGTAAGATTGCCGGTGATGTAAGGAGCGTCCTAGAGGAAAGATGGAGATCTGTTCAGAGTGTGCAACGGGCCTCGCCTCTTTGGGCTCCCAAGACCCTCCGAGTCTTGCGAGATACTCATCTTTCCTTGAACACGAGCCGACAGTACATATACCATGCTTTGCAGAACCAGCATTCCTCCTCCCGAGCAACCCCATTCAATCCCAGCCACCACACACGCGGGACAATCAATAATTTCCTTGACACCGAAGCTAGCTTCCTGATAGCTGCCCATGCCGCAGAACCGTCTCTTACACTCGCAGACTTCGAGACCGCTATTGGATCAGGGATCGATGACTGGGTGGCGCGCATTCCACGCAGGAGTGTCGATTCCGCATGCGTCTCGATTGAGGCGTGTGCCTCTGCATACTCTTCGAGAGCGCTTACAGCTTATAAAGGAAACCCAGAGAATTTGTCTATCATGCTTCTCACCCTTTTTGAGCTCTGGGTAGCAATGGATAAAATCGTTGTTGGAAAAATTCCACTCCTGGCAGAATACTCTCCCGAAATCCCATCGACGCTTTTGGATTGCCTTTTAATCCGCAAAGCTTCTGTCCTTGATCGTTTGAAGAAATTGCACACCTACCTGAAAGCTCGTCATTGTCAGGCTTCCAGCGGTCTGTCGGTATTTACCAATGATGACGAATCGTTCGCGGCGCGATATTTTCACCAGTCATCCGAGCTGCAGAGTTTGAAGGCTCGTATCGAGGCGGATGGTCGGAAACAGCGGCAGGAGAAGTTAACCGAACTTCGGACCCTCCACAGAAGGTATCGTGACCTAACGACGCGCGCAGCAAGTTTAGAGCACGAATACGGTGTCAACTCCCGCGGCTGGGATTACCACAAGCACTGGCAATGTGAAAAGTGCCATGTGGAGAACGATATGAATTCCATGGAAATTACAGTCTACGAGTGGCCGCTACCAGCGCCTGAAGAGGAGGCGATTGTGGTGGTGTTCGAGTTAGCATGCCCCATTGCGTTCGACATGTGGAGATCCATGACAATTCATGTTTTCGTCGATGTCTGCACTCCAGAGCAGATTCCCTGCATTCCCCCCTTCATGACACTGCCTGAATATAACGCCTTGAAGCAATATCGCACGTGTCATCCAAGGCAAAGGCTCACTTTGGCGTCGGAAGCCAAACCTTTCTCCAGATCTCATTACAGCGAGATTCGCATTCCCACGCCAAACACCGAAGTCTGTGTGAACAACGGACTCGATTTTTGGCCTTTCGACACAACGACAGGCGCATGGGTGGAAGATATACCGCTACAATGCGATGTCACCAAGTTGTGCACTTTCCTTCTTCCGAAGGGACCATATGATGGTTTGCAGCAGTACCTTGCAGGGACATCCCACACGTCAAACCAGGTCATGGCCAATCAGGCAGATTGTCACAAAGACGTGACCATCCACGAATTCATCGCGTTCGGAACCTTGCGGAGTGGACCGCATTTGCAATGGATGAATGTGCTGCGTGAACTCCATGCAAGGACGCTCAATTTTCGACGTGAGGAGATCCATCTTCTGTTGGCCCAAGCTGTCTCACAGGCCGGCCCATTTTCGTCCAACGACGGCCTTATTTGGCATGAGGACTTGAACAGCGTGCCCTTCCTTATTGCACTACTTGGAGAGCTGGAGGAGTTGATGGCGAGCGTCGAAGGAAATTGGTTGGAAGCTGTCACGATCGACACTATCATCATGCTTGTGTGCCGCGTTTTGTCCTCGACTCAGGAAGAGAGTGTGAAAAGTCGTGGACACGCGCTCCTTCGAAGGATACGAACTGCGACTTTTACGTTGCTGATGCAACTATCAGGGAAAATGCAAGCCAGCAACGACGAGGCGGTCAGCCGGGATTTGCAAGGGCGTGTTCGGGATATGGCAGTCACCTGTCGTAGCACTTTCGATGTCGATGGGAACGCTTCACTGCTCCTGACGTCGAACGACGACATCAAGATATTTGTATATTGTGCGGTCATGCTTTATGACAACACTCCAAGCCAACTCGACAATCTTTCACGATATTCCAAGCTACTGCTAGAGCGAGACAAGAGATGTTGCCACGCATTAGAACCCATTATTCGTCAATATGTAGAGCAACACAGGGAGGGCCTTGATTGCGCAATAGTCAAGATTTGGGACAGCTACAGACCAGGAACTCCTTGGAGGGCACTTAGGGCTCCGAATTCTCGTTGGCTCATGACGCAAACTGCGCCTTCACATTCCCAATTACCACAGGACGTGCACATTGATTTGATCAGCGGATGCTTGCTTATCGATGGGAAGCAGTTGGGCAGGCTTCCTTCAAAAATAGTGCAACATCCCACTTACCGATCGATCTTCGGCGGTGTGAGTCTTTGAAAGTCGTAGCTTTGTTGGCACAAGCTCACTTATCAACTATAGCAAGTTCTGGACATCATTCCAGCTGATATTCGTGGAATGGAATATGCGACGCGCGGGAACTTCTGTGACCATCAGGTCAGTGGTCAGTCTTGTTGTCATCACTCAGTAACTAAAGGTGCACTCGTTTGTTCCTGAAGGTGTCTTTCGCTCTCCTTGACTCAAACGATCTCATCATCCGTGCGAAGCATATCGAACATGACTCACCTATCCTCCAACTCATTCCAAGCCACAAATTCGTGGAAGACCTGCCGACCCCTTTAGTCGTGGGTCATACTCATTGGCTTAACCTGCAGACGAACGAAATCGAGATTCGTCCAGCAGGAAATGCGTGGAAAGTTTCATCCGACAATTGGGTCTTGCGATTTGATGTTTCGGGTTCCTCGACGGCACAGAATTCCAGTGGTGCCACCCTTGTCGACATACGCAGCCAAACGTGGGACATGATCTCCAAGAGGCTGCGTCCCCTGGAGGATGTAAACTTCATCATGGTCACATGTAACCAAGCATCCAGTAGCACTCCCTCGTTGAAGGCTGATTTGCCTCGATATGGCCTCGAATTCTTCATTGATGATGATGGAGAATTGCAGTCCCGTAACATGCGCAACATGGTCGTCGATGCCATTCAGTCAAGTGGCACCATGTTAGGATTGGTCAATCAACTCATCCTACGCCCGAAGTTGCAAGTTGCGGATGAGCATCCGCGCACCGTCATCATCCCAGATGGTCATATCTCATACTCCGCTGATGGTCACCATGTCCGCGTCACCATCGCTCCTGAAGGTACTCGAGTGACATATCAGTCGTACAGAGTTGACACAGATCTATGCTGCCTCACTGGGAATGTGGGTCTCACAAGTAAGCTCTATCAGGCGCTCCTTCACGCTGTTACCAGTGGCTGTCTTCCTGATCCCCTCACGGGTCGAACGGGGACAGAGGAAGCGTTGCATCTCTTAAATTCCGCAGCTTGCCGATCGTTTATGAAGCTTCGCTCTCGTGACACGGACCTTTTGCGCGAGATCAGTTCTCTGTCAACTAGGCGCGTCTGGTACCCTATTCATCTTCAGAAGATGCAGACAATCTCGTGGTCATGCCTTGCGCCCCTTGCACAGCACCATGGTTTTCATCCAGCCGCGAAATCTATCATGGATTACGGAATGAAGCTTTCGACTTTCTCAGAAGGGTCCGCAAACCTTCAGGAACTTCCACGATTCACCAATCACCTTCTGGAGCGTGCCTCAGTTCGTGCCTCAGCAATTTATCCTGATCAGTTCTCTCTTTCACTTCCGCTCGGTGATACAGATGTCATCTATGCTTCACGCGATATTCCCGACAAGGTCGCAGAAGAGAGAGCATTCCAAATCACCTTCATGGTGCATCAGTGGTCACGCAAACTTCCAGTGCAACAGAATCTCCTTGATCTGTTGACTCAGTGGCAAGAGGTCCAGGGCATTGGCGAGCCGCTCAGCTTGCAGTACTCCAAAGACTGGCTTCAACCAAGTTTCCCTGATGTCTTCCTTTCCGCGTACGATTGCTGTCGTAGGGCTACAAAGAAAGACATACCTCGGCTGGTGTTCACCCTGGCTTCATTATCATACAGCTTGTTGGATGATCATGCTCTCGTGCCAACACTCCTAGCCTTCGCCACCATTCCCAAAATTCGCAGCCTGGGAGACCCTCCGAAGTTCACCTCCTATGATCTCTCGAATGGTTTTATGCTGTCCGATACGAGATTGGACGACATCATCAGTTCGTGCTCCAAAGATTACGAAAACAGCCAGGAGAGACAACTACCTGCAATGCACGGCGAAGATGAAAAAACTCTAGGGAGGCGTCGTTATTCAGCTTTCGAAAACAGATGTCGCTCTGAGAAACAAGTCATTCTCAGCAAAGTTCAGAATGCCTGGCCACGCGAAACTCTTCCGGCACTTGATACACTGCAAGCGAAGTGCTACAATCTCAAAGAATTGTCAGGGAAACTTTCCCCAGTATTTCGCAGCTGTTGGCGAAACCGTTGTCTAAAGCTACACCTGGATGGCCTGCAGGAGACGCTCAAATCATTCTACACGCCAAATCCTCCTTCGAAACTACCCTCTCAATATGATCTCAATTCTTACCTTGAGGACTCGCATGTTGCATCACCGGCCTCATCTGTTGATACCAAGTACCTGTTCAATAGAGATCCGCCTGTGACAAGCATGTGTTGGTCTTCGCAGTTTCTGCCCAATGCCAATCAGAGAGATTTGGTATCTTCAGACTCCCGAGTTGCAGCAGGGTTGCGACAGCTGATCGACGATTTTCGCACACGAGGAAGTGACAAGTTTCACTGCAAATATGCCGACGATCTGTACAAGAGCATGTCGATTTACTGTCACGAAGATATTGTCGCCCCACCAGATTCTACGCCATACACAATGGAACTACTGCTCGAGAACCATTCTCTCCATACCCGGCAATTCCAAGACTCACTTGCATCTATTGCACACACCCTCTCCCCCGCCTCTGCTGCTGAGAACACGTTATATAATGCTGGATTATGGCCTCGAGTTACACCAAATTTCCTTTTCACACGCATGGCTTCTACAGCAGGAAGTCATCTGGGGAAGGCTTGGCGTGGTGCTCTTATCCAGCTGTCGCAGATACTTTTGCAACTGCAACGCTCGCGAAGGCTGTTGGTCTTTGCTACTAACAGAAACTGGGTCGAGTTCTTCAAGGAGTTGGAGAGCGAAGGATGCGTAGAATTTGATCCGGAGCTGTACCCTGATTGGCTCTTAATACAGGTACGCTATAAAGAAATAGATCATGAATGGTAACTGATAGTGTCATCCTCAGATTGAAAGTCAGTTCTTGGCACGGCCGGTCCAGGTCAAGGTCGCGCTGGAGATGATGTCACCATGCACAGGAGGAAATACTTCTCTCCAACTGAACATGGGCGAAGGCAAATCCTACGTTATCGTGCCCCTCATAGCAGCCGCAATTTCTGATGGCCACAAACTGGTCCGAGTAATCGTGCTGAAGTCGTTGTCGGCTCAGATGTTCCAACTCTTAGTCGAACGACTAAGCGGCCTCGCACAAAGGCGCATTTTCTATATCCCATTCTCCCGCGCACTCTCTATCAACCCATCGAAGGTGCAAATGTATCGTGACTTGATGCAGGAGTGCATGGATACCAAGGGAATCTTAGTCGTGCAACCGGATCATATTCTGTCATTCCAGCTGATGACTGTCGACCGTCAGCTTTCCCCTCAGATTGAAGCTGCTGAAGATATGCTGCAGACTCAGTTTTGGCTCCACAATCACACACGCGACATCCTGGATGAAAGCGATGAAATTCTGCACGTCCGCTACCAGCTGGTGTACACTGTGGGTCTCCAAAGGCCACTTGAAGGTCATCCCGAAAGGTGGACAACAACGCAACAAGTGTTGAGTCTTGTCGCGAAGCACGCCGCTCGGCTCATGAGTGAATTCCCGTCTCATTCAGAAGTGTTCACTCCTGAGCATGGAGGGTTCCCCTTTGTTCGTGTCCTGCACTCGACAGCGGGCGAAACATTAGTCCAATGGATCGCAGAGGATGTCATCAGTAGCGCGCTTGAAAACATCAGCTTCGATCAAGCATCTCCCTATGTGAAAGAAGCTGTCTGCTGCTTTATTGCAACTGAGAAGATATCCAACGCTTGTGTTAGCACAGTGAAGAATTACTATGGAGACACTACGGTCTGGCCAGGCCTCCTAGTCCTGCGTGGATTGCTGGCATGCGGTATCTTGGTGTACGCCCTCAAAGAACGTCGCTGGCGCGTGGACTATGGCCTCACCCAAAAACGAACGAAGCTAGCTGTGCCATTTCGTGCAAAAGACATGCCCTCACTGCGGGCGGAGTTTGGCCACCCAGACGTTGCTGTGACCCTCACGTGCCTGTCATACTATTATGGGGGTCTCACGCTCCAGCAGTTGATGTTGTGCTTCGAGCTCCTGCTCAAGCAGGATAATCCTACCCTCGAGTATGAGTCTTGGGTTGCTAGACTTCAGTGCATCCCAGAAAGTCTGCGTCAACTCAATGGAATCAATACGGAATCCGCAGAGCAGGTCCGTGACCTTCAACGACTGTTCGAATTCAACAAGGCGGTCATAGATTTCTACCTGTCCCGAGTAGTTTTTCCCAAGGAAGCAAAGGCATTCCCCAGCAAGCTCACCTGCTCCGGGTGGGATCTCGCTCAAGAGAAGAGACATCTCACCACTGGCTTTTCTGGTACCAACGACAATCGTTATCTTTTACCAAGCTCGATGGTGCAGCATGACCTCGATTACCAACGCAGCACGAATGCCCGGGTCCTGGCGTTCCTTTTTCGCCCAGAAAACAACTGCTACAGACCCATACCGTCTGGCCAGAAGATACAACATTTCATTGATACCTTAATCGCACAAATCCCCGAGGTCCGCGTGCTCCTGGATGTTGGTGCGCAGATGCTGGAATTGAAGAATCAGGAATTGGCCGAGACATGGCTTCGAGGCAAACACGATGCCCAAGCCGCAGTCTTTGTGAACGATGACGATGAAATTGTTGTCGTCAGTCGGGATGGGACAGTAGAGCCCCTTGTGTCGTCCCCCTTTGCCCAACAGCTTGACCAGTGTGTGGTCTATCTGGATGACGCGCATACCAGAGGAACGGATGTCAAGCTTCCTTCTGGCTTCCGAGCTGCTGTCACGCTTGGTCCGAAAGTCACGAAAGACCGCCTGACACAAGGTCTGTGATTCCAGAGTTCATGCATATAAATTTTGACGATAACCAACGACACAGGATGCATGCGAATGCGGAAGTTGGGCAATGGTCACTCGGTGATGTTCTTCGCTCCGACGGAAGTTGACCGAAACATTCGCTCAGCGACTCAGAGGGCTGATACAGACCGTGTCGACGTTGCGGATATCCTGCACTGGGCAATGCTCGAAACCTGTCTTGATATCCAGATGCGTGCATCACACTGGGTTCAACAGGGATCAGATTTTAGTATACGACATTCCTCATGGGCTAAATTATCACGTACCCCCACCTCGATCTCCACCCTGAAGACCGCCTGGTTGCAGTCTGAGGAGCGTTCATTAGAGGATATGTACGCACCACGCAGTCCTTTGCAAATATCCCACGTTTGGGCTGCAGACATTCGAAAAAAGTGCAAGGAGCTCGGAGTTCTGACGGGACCAAAAATGAACATGGATGAGGAACAAGAAAGGGAAGTAGTCCACGAGGTGGAGAGAGAACATCAAGTTCAAAGACCGTCCAAAGTGCAACCTGCAGCTCAGAACTTGCATGCGCACGTTCGTCAATTTGTCGAGACCGGCCGAATTCCTAGAAAGTCCCCCGCATTCATTCCGGCGCTATCCAGCCTCGCCAACACTACTGCTGAATTTCACGAGGCCAATCAGTGGGCGCAAAATGTTTTAGTCACACTTGACTTCGCTCGTACGGTGGAGACTGTCCTTACCATACAGAAAGCGGATGAATACCTGCGGCCCGTCAATTGGATCGTACTCGGTGACGTTGGAGTGCTGGTAATCATGAGCCCGAACGAAGTGGATGCACTGCTGCCTGATATCCGCAACAGCAAGGCAGTTCAGTTATGCGTATATACCCCTCGGACCACAAACACAATGAAGGCATGCGATGATCTTCGACTCTACCGTGTTCCTTCGACGTCACATCTGACATTACCGGAACCGCTGATTTGCCAGCTCAACCTTTTTGCGGGTCAACTCTATTTCTCCAGTTACGAGATGTATCTCCGCACTTGCAACTTCTTAGGCCTCAACGCGCCGGATTTGAGGGACATGGACTTGATAGCCGACAGTGATGGATTCATTAGGAAGAATCGCCCTTCTGCTCGAGCATCGTGTTCGTTTAAGCGATCCCAACTTCCTCCGCTGAAGGAGTTGTTCGGAATGAGAAGGAAAGGTATGGGGTATTTGCCAACTCACCTCGGAAGGATGTTCAATGGCCGCATTCTGACCGAGGGGGATTTTCCCGACTGAGTGCCAGGTTTGTTTAACGTAAGTTTTAGCGCCTTTCTGCCAGGGCCTCACTGATTGCAATTCTTCATCATGATGTAATTTTGTGACATTCTTTGTGAATGTATTTGTAGTCGAATTCATAGTGGATCTGAAACGCTATACGTCTTGCTGCGTCATGTACCCTCATGTCATTACCAAATATTATATCTCCATTATCCTCTTCACTGGTCCGTTCGTTGTTTCATTATGGTCGGTCGGTGAAACGGTGGTGGATCAGCAAGATCGCCCTGTACTTAACAACGAGAGCGCTTGAGTAGTGTGAAACCGTGCTCAGCGCAGCATTTGTTTAAGAAAGCCACGAGCATAGACAAGTATTGAGGATTGAGGATCAAGTGCCGAGTTCCTGGGGATGTGTTGTACATATGTCCCACCTCATGAAGCGTAATGGAGCGTCCGATAATGAAACAAGATTGACTCGTTTAAAGCACAAAACCGTAGTGGATGAAGCAGGAAATATGATACAGTACGACGACGAAGTGCAGACAGCCACAGGAACGATGAGACGAGAGAAAGTGTCCAATCAACAGACCCACAGCGATCCTGAGCATCCAAGGAATCCAGCATTTGGCCTGTATGGCAGTGATAGTACGTCGCAACGTCATTCCAGTAGCCAGTGGAGTAGTTACGACTGCCTCTCTATGGTTGACCATTTGTATGAATAGGCATGCAGCAAAGCCAGCTCACAAGACGGGCGTGCCATCCAGTAAGGCAGTGGGAGGTGGTTGCTGTGATAATGATGGTGTGTTCTGGGTTGCTGTGTGGTATGAGTATTGGGTGGCCGATATGAGCTAGTAGCTGGCTTCTTTCTTGCGTGATAATTTCTCTGCGCGGAAACGAGTCAACGATATAACAAAAAACAGTGGAAGAGAAAAAAAAACGCACAGGCTTTCCTGCTGTATATAGGACCCCGACTACAGGCGGCTCGCGCATCTCGATGTCTGATCTATCTTGGCTGCGCGTACCAGAGACAATGTTTCGAGTCCAACTGAGAGGCCGGGATCTGGATTGGGCGCCACGCTCAGTTGCCCCATGCAATTTGGAGCGGCGCCAGAAAGAGGGAAAAGGATTGAGCGTGCGTTGACGTGGTGCTGGAGTGGAGTGGTTATGTGGCCCATGAGAATGGGATAGATAAAGGCGCAACTGATAGCAGATTGGTCGAAGTATCGAACAATAGATAGAGATCGCATGCATTATCCTCTCGCAGTGCATCATCAAAAACCCTGGAGGTATTCGAGGAGCACTTTCATCTTTGGAGCTGGTCGCAGTGCAGCATTAACCTGGGGGAGCAGATCCACCGTCAGTGTCATCGAAAATAAAATGTATTTGAGCTTACAATATCTGACGGAAGGCCAGCTTCCTTGAGGATAGTAGAAACATCCTATGTGTAAATGTAGCCATTGGGACAGCTAGTGATGAGAAACTTTCCATCTGCAGCAAAGGTCGCAGAGTTCAAGATGTCTTCATGGCAAAGTGGTATCCTGAGGTGTTGACTAGTTTCGAGGTTCCATAGTCTTACTATCTGGTCCCGGATTGATGTACTTGCGAGGATGCGCTCACTGGGAGATAGTTACTCTAGGGGAGCTCAAAGTTGAACGTTGAACGCCCAACGCCCAAGCCCAACGCCTAACGCCCAACCTCGTGACCTATTTAGAATAAATAGAAATAAATACAACGCAAACCAAACACAAACCCTAATAAACCCTACGCATTACATCATCGCCCCGCGCGAAATAAACAAACTTATATAAGCAAATCTTATCGATAAGCATCGTTGTCACTGAAGGTGATCAATACACTACAGCCATGGCTCGTACAAGTCTACACCACCAATATCTACAAAACTATATCCTGCATATGATATTACGAAGCATCCTTCAGCCACCACGGACCCCAGAAGAGGCTGCCCATGAATTTGACCTTGATATCTCTTGCATTCTTGCTATCAGGCACTTTCATTATCTTCGAGAAAGACCCCCAATGCTCAAAGCTGGCTCACTTCACCTTGCATGGGAATATGCACAAAATCCAGCACACCATTCACGCTTCATCAACATGCTCTGTGTTTCACCTGAAGTCTTTCAGGTCATCCTTGGTTTAATCGAAGATCATCCTATCTTTATATTACTCACCCCATATGCTCCTGATGTGCATCGGAGTCGAGTCATCTGGGCCAGAAGTAGGGACATAGTGATTGAAATGCTCCTCGTCAGGTTCATCTCCCAAATTGTCATCTTGGAGGCCCTCGCCTGTAGTTCTGAGCCGGCGTGCATGATGCTTGTAACGATTGACAAGGCTATTAGCAGATAGATAAATTAGCAGAGATATAGAAATTTCATGCCAGTCACATACTAGTCGAACCGTTTCTTCACGCGGTCCCCAACTGCGTCAGGGTTGATGGCATACAGGTCCGCAAGGATAACAGATCCAATGCGCTTGAAGACTGCAATCTTTGTATCCTTTGATGTATTCTGGTGGTATTTCAGCTGCAGTACCAACAAGATGAAATAGGAATAAGCTTACTTCGTCCTTTTTTTTCCCAAGTAGCATCTTCCTATTCTCTGCTTTCTCGGCCTGAGCAAGGAGCAACCAAGTGAGTGGTGTGGTCCATTCTATGTCACCAATAGGTGGTCCTGCTGATTTCTTGGATCGTCAGGCCATGGTCCACACAGTTGGGAGACGAGGCAAAGGGGTCCACACAGTTGGCGAGAGACAAAGTGGAAGCTGCAGAACGGTGGCAGCGTTTCGGCGCTGCCTCGTTGATAGCACACGGACAATGATGTAATGCGTAGGGTTTGTTAGGGTTTGCGTGTGGTTTGCGTTGTATTTATTTCTATTTATTCTAAATAGGTCATGAGGTTGGGCGTTAGGCGTTGGGCTTGGGCGTTGGGCGTTCAACTTTGAGCTCCCCTAGTGAAATGGTACTGTTGACGACAACGAAGGTCAACAGTACTAGTCCAAGTGGCTGTGTCAAATTTCATGCTTCCGAATCGGCAATAAGTGTTTTTTCATTCGATTACTAGTATCCGACTCAGAGCTAGTTCGGAAACCCATGTGAAGTCAGGTGGAATCAATTTGCAGTCGGCAAGCATGGTTGGCACGCCACCCCGAACGGCTGACTTTCAACCTTGCTTGCATCGTACTACTACTGTTATCGCATCGATAATCTTAAGGATCTTGACAAGTGTTGTATCTCTACCAGCTCTTGCTGCGCATTACTGTAACTACTGTTCTCACTACAATGACACATCCAGAGATCCAACAACGCCTCCTTCACTATGCTAAAATCCTCATCAGCATCCTGATATGTGCTACAGGATCCCTACTACAATCTACCTACTCCAAAGACCCGGAACCATACCACACATCCATTCTCTCTGGTGAAGGCTGGCTTATGGAGCTTCTTACTGGACATCCGGAATGCATTCGATGCGAACTGGGTATGCATGCACATGCTTTTGAAGCGCTCATCTCTGAGCTCTGTAACTTCGGTTATGTTGACTCCAAGTTCATCTCGTTGGAAGAACAAGTCGCTATATTCCTGTATACTAGCATCACGGGTCTGACTACCTGGCACGTTGGAGAGCGGTTTCAGAGATCGAACGATACGATTTCACGGTGAGCGCTATTATTTTTTGATCTATACAATACATCTAATATTTCCTAGTTATTTTAAAAGGATTCTACACATATTCTCGTCCCCCCCGTTCTACACTACCTACGTCCACTTACCAGACGGCACTTCGGTCTCAAAAAAAATAAAAAACAACCCCAAATTTTGGCCATTTTTCTGTGATGCTGTTGGCGCACTCAACGGAAGTCATATTCATGCGTCGCCCCCTGCCTTCGAACGCACTGTATACCATAATCGCAAAGGTTTCGTTTCGCAGAACTGTTTATTTGCTTGTGACTTCAACCTCAATTTTATCTACTCTTTGACTGGGTGGGAGGGTTCAGCTAATGATTCTCGGATTTATGAGGATGCACATGCGCATGACTTCCACATTCCACGACAGAAGTACTACCTAGCGGATGCAGGATTCCCGCTTTGCCCTGAACTTCTTGTGCCATACCGTGGTGTCCGTTACCACCTCGCGGAGTGGGGCCGTGCAAATATCAGGTATGTTTTTCTAACTTCTTCGTTTCTCTAACTTATATTTTGATGGCAGGCCCGTCAATAAAGAGGAGCTCTTCAACCTACGCCACACGTCTGCACGAAACATGATAGAGCGCATCTTTGGTGTCCTAAAACGCCGCTTTCGCATTCTCCTTTTGGCACCAGAGTACCCCCTCGACACTCAAGCACGAATTCCTGCTGCATTGTGTGCAATCCACAACTTCCTACGCCTACATGATCCCAGTGAGGATGAAGAGTCGTGCGGCGAATCATATGTGTCTGAGAACCCTGATTTTCAGGGACAAGCTGATGACAACAACAACAACGATGAAGAAATGAACGACGATAGTGGTCATGTGGTGAGTGGTCGCGCAATGCGTGAATGCATTGCGCAAGCAATGTGGGATCAGTATCAGGATGTCATACATGAGAGGGCTTTGTTGGACTCAGGTTCAGACTCGGAGGTATCAGACGCATTGGACGAGAGCGAATTGGAAAGCGTAGCATAGAAACACATGTAATTCGGTACAGAAACAACAAGTACTTGGTATGGAAACAGCTAGTGCAGCTAGTGATTGAGTATGAAAAAAACAAATGAGTGCATGCGAGATTGAACAAATGGCAGGTAAACTACATGGCGCTGGCAGCACAGTTACAACTGCGGACGGACGTATGGCACTTGTGGTGCTTGTGTCATATCCCATATATTCACGCTTCTCTTCCGGACTTCGGACCCTGAGATCCGATCCGGTCCGATGTATAGATCTGCTTCTGATCCGATTTATGATAAGCTTTCTAATTCATTTCCTGTTCATATAACGTTAAACACAGCCTATTCGGTATTTCCTCTTCCCGGTGTTTTTATACTTATTACCGGTATGATTACTGATCCGTTAACCTATGTCTCATTTCCGACTCGCGTTTGATAACCTTTGCACATGCTTCGTACATAGCCTCGGACCTTTGCTTACTGATACTTCCGTTATCCTCATAGTATATAAACTCGTGTATATGTCCTGTAGTACCTCAGTTCGAATATCATCTTAGTTTGTCCTCTTTCTGTCCTCCGGACTTGAGTCCTTCTTACTCTTGTCACCCTCCGAGACTTCAGATAGATTCCGATAGTCTATATCCTCGGCTCTACCTTCGGGTAGTCTTACTCTGTTAGTTTCTAGTTCGGATACATCCGGATTAGTCTTATATACGTTTCCGATATCCGGAAGACATCCGGATATACTACGAGAC